GCAGATGTCAGATCTTCGATCTCATACATTCATGCAGGCACGATGATAATGAGGCATTAGGAGATGGGGGGAAAGTTTCATGAAGACAGAAGGACTGGGAGGACATCGAGCCAGTTTGGCAGGAGTACGCCAGGAACAATTCGGTGAGTGTTGTGATCTCTGGCTACTGGAATGAATTGGTTGATCTTTGTCATGATAGGTGCTGGGGCACGAGATGGTGGGCGACAGGTGAATGGAGGTCGAAAGAGAATCAGGAAGCCTGCTTTCGAACTCGAAATGATGGGGATGGGATGCCGGTGCTTGACATCACCGAGACGAAACTGAGGAGAAGAGACAGCCATCGTCAGAGCATTTCTCACATCGCACTATCGTGAGTCCGTCAGTCGCAACACGCGAACATTTGTTGAATGCATTTATACAGGTATCTGTTCTGGGTTGTCAAGGCAGTGTGCCATGGAGCGCCATCGTACAAAGTCAGGATGACTTGTGGCAAGAACATATCTTCCGGCAGATGTGACTTGAAGGAGCCTTCGAAGTTGCAACATTGGGACACGACTGCCTTACTGAATTTCTGTATGCTCGGCAGGAGAAAGGCGAAGGTCCAAAATTCCTGTTCAAAGCATGGAGGAACAGAGATGGGGACATGGTAAGCCTCGGTTGTATCCGGAAATTCACCTTCTCATCGGACTCGAAATGCCAGACGAGTTATGATCCGAAGGCCTCGGAATTCATCGACCGAAACCTGACAGTGATCCCGAGGCCAATCACGAGAGTGATCCAGAGAGCAATCCTGAGGACAACACTCATCACATGAAGGAGGATGCTGATGATGACACAGAGGAAGGTAGATCCCCGCAAAAAGAGACCCAGAACAGAGCCTGGTCCTTCGACAGCACATGAAGGGACAGCGGTCCCACATGCAATTCCAAAGCCTCGCCCGGTCAATGCAGGGAAGACTGGTGCACTGCTGACATCGCGAATGGGCGACCTCCTGACTGGGCTGACTGCGAGAGTCACTCGCAATGTTCAGGAGGATGGTGCAACAGAACGAGTCAATAGGTCGCCGGTGCCGAAGAACATGCGGGGAAAGAAAGCGGTGATTGAGCCATCAGCTAGGACACACCCGGAGTAAGTCAACAGCAGCCATTGGACACAAGCACTCGAGTGACGAGAGCAAGGGAGAAAGAAGTAATGGGCTGATACTACACTACCTGCCATTACCTGCTTGTATTTACATGTCAATGTGTAACTTTCATATATCTGACCTAATATGATATGCAGAGTCCCACTAGTGAATATCGATTATTGAGTCCGACTATTGAGGTCCCGACTATGGAGTCCCGACTATTGAGTCACAAACATTGAATCCGACTATTGAACCTCGAGTCCCGAACCCCAAGATTCGTCAAACACTGAGTCCTGACTATTGAGCGTCGAGTCCCGAGCATTGAACATCGAGTCCCGAAATCGAGTGCCGAGTGTTGAGTCCCGATTATCGACTCCCAAATATCAAACATCAAGTCCCGAAGTATCGACCCTGGAGTCCCGAACATCAAGTCCCTACTATCGAGTCCCGAGTGTTGAGTCCCAATTATCAAATCCCGACCATCGTGTATGAGTCCCAGTTCGACACCCGGGGACATGTATTGAAAAATTCGGTAGTGTACATGATGTGGGGATGTCAATGAAAATTCACAGGTTGCAATGCAGTAATGTACATGGTCAGTTGTTCTTCAAAGTGTTCAATCATGGAATCTACTACCTGAGCATTTCAATGCTCATCTGTTCAACTCTTTGGCAACCTCTGCAGGTCTGCATCAGCTTTTTTCAGTTTGTTGGATGTTTCTGCCCAAGCCGTTCGGAATGGACGCTCGGCCTCGATAGTTGTTGGATGGAAGGGTCAGGAAGACCTCCAGTATGGTGTTGTAATCATGGAGTCAATCTTGGACGGATTGGTCTTCCAGAAAGATTAGCTTAAGATAAACTGCTCTGCTTTCAGATACTCACATTCTGGGTGTTGGTATTTCCGAAAGGATGGAGCTCCCGGACCATCAACCATACGTCCTCGATATTGAGCTCCGGCTGGTCTCCAGGGAGTTCGGTAGATGATTTGTCGGCTTGGGGAGATAAGATCAGTCTCCATAATGGTCTAGAATGAATGGACCCACATGAAATAGACACCTCTGAGGTAGCCGGAGCAAAAGTGGAGGATCAGCAGAGTCCAGCAACTCATCAACATCAATGACATCATCCTCAGGCCCGAGGTACAAGTCTGGATCAATGAGACAGCTGGAATCATCAGCTTGACCCGGATGTGATTGATCTTCAAGGGTGAAGTTAGCATGCATGGTGATCCCAGGTCATCAGTAATGTATAGTCATACCGGGTATTGCAGCCGATGCATCCAGGGTCCGGATGACATAGAATCATATTCTATGTCATCATCCGGCCCGAGGTATAAGTCATCTAAGTCATCTAAGGGATACCCGGTGAATAGATAAGGCATGATGAGAATACAACATACCTAGTGATGCCCGGCCCATAGATGAGTCATCCACATCCATAGAATTATAGTCGGTCACCAGTGGGTCATTAAATCTAACGGCTGGATGGGAACTCATGTGTGGAGAATTGGTGGACTGATTGACTGATGATCTAAAAAACTTCGAAGTTCAACCACAAAGCCGGCAATTGCCGAAAGTTGAACCACGACCAAACAAACACAAACAATAAATGATTTTGTGGATCGCCCATCAAATGTCTTGTTTGTTTGAAAACTTCATCTTTCTGATAACTGATTTCAATCTGAATTTCAAGATCTTTAAATCTCTCAACCCACTCATCATGTCCACTCCAGTTGACAACTCTTTGACCCATCTCAAGGCATCCACTGCCCAGATCATGGCCATCATCAGTGCCGCCCGGCAGATTCCCCCGGGTCCCAGCCACTCGGCTTTGGGAAAACAGGTTGCTACACTTGTGGTATGTTTTTTGTTTGGGTGCTTTTTCTTCTCTAACATCTTGGTAGTCTGATGTAGCCAAGGAGTATGGGTCCGGGGATGGTCCTATTCCTGGCCTCATCATTTCATGCTCCAAAGAGCTCCAGCGCATTCGGAACATGGTTCCCAAGGTCTGGCCAGACTTGCACTCCATTGGGTATGATGATCCTCGCATTCTTAGGCACACCTGGTCCCCCAAGGTCCTCGCCTGGAACGCCTTAGGCAACCAGACCTTCGATCTCCCAACTGCTGCCCCCCCCATCCACAGGTCCGATTCCTGTCAATCTCCCTCCCCAGCCATCCCTGCCGGCAATGTTGCTGGCCCTTCCACCAACCCCACCACCGAGTCCCAGGACAAGGGGAAAGGTAAGGCCGTCTTCGCTGACCCGACCCCGAGGCAGAAGGGAGTAAGAAGAGGAAGTCCCCCTTGATTTCTGGACTCTCCTCCCAACCCCCAAAATCTGCGATGAAGAGTCACAAGCGTCAGAGGTCTGCTCACGTTTGTGAAGTCCAAGGCCATCGTGGAGTCTGAAGATGATGAAGACTTGGTTATGCAGGTATGTCGTCTTGTTCATTTTTTTCATTGTCTCTCATTTTCGTGTAGCCACTTTTGGGTGGAGTGCCGGAGGGTTGTCCTTCCCAGCTCTCCACAATTGTCGCAAGGACACCTGATTCGCCTCGCTCGCCCTGGGTACCCAAGAAGAAGCCCTTTGGCCCTGCCACAGTAAGTGTCATTTATGCGTCCGGGACTCGGGTGTGTGCTTACATTATACCAGGTGATTGCCGGCAGTCACACAGCAGTTGTGGAGCCCTCCCAGCCCACTCCTGAACCTCCGGTGCAGGCACCCCCAGTCATCCCTGCAGTTGACATTCTCATTCCCTGGACCGGTGAGTACTTTGAAATATCTCAAGTGTCCATACACTAATACAACCAACAGAACAACCCATGCTATGCTTGCCACAAGCACAACTGGCCTTGCGCAACTCGGCCGGACAAGAGGACCGGGGCTCCATGTATGTCGTGCATCTACTGCACAACAAAGAAGATCAAGTGCACCCCCGCGACTATGGGATCCCCGCCTCCTCGCGATCGTTCTTCCTCTACTACCCGGAGGACGAGGTCCAGAACACCATCCAGGGCTTCCTCCAAGACTCCCTCAAGGCTCCCCCCACATCCCAAACTCCCACCCCCTCCAAAGCTTCCCCTGCCTCCCAGTCCAGGGCCCGAACTCGCAGTCAGTCTCATGGCCGGGCCGGGAACTTCTGGTGTCACTGCTGTGACCACTCCCAAGACCCAGACGCATGGTCGCAGCAAGACTATCACTGCCGTCAAGGCACCTGCACCTGCACCAGCTCGTAAGTCACCCGAGTTTTTCATCACCGTCTGACCTTCATTTTCCCTTGTAGCCCTTCCGTCTTCCAGGTCAGCAGTCCCTGCTGCAGCACTTGGGGTGCCCATGCCAGATCTCCATGCCATGTCCATTGCAATTCGAGATGGCGCAGCTCGAATCGCTCTTCTCGAGGCTCGTGTGGCAGAGCAGGATGGTAAGATTGACACCCTGCAACGCCTTCATGAAGGCCTTAGGCGCGAAACCATCGACCGGCACCCCTCATTCCCACTTCCCGACACTCCTGCCCCTGCAACATCCTTGTTGCTTGATCAATCCGGCCCCCGCACCATGTCACCCCCAGAATCCGCACTCCCTCCTCTAATTGATCTCAGTATGGAAACAATGGCTCCCACACCTGCAGCCCCAACATTCCTGGATGCCTCTGCCATCGAGGGTCTCCTGTTCGACTACAACCAAGTTGTTCATCCAGAGGATCCAGATGCATCCAGCGAAATTGTGGACCCAGGTGATCCAAGCAACCTTGTCCCAGAATATGACTCTTCCAGCAACATGGATGTTGAGGTGGAGGTGAAGGTTGAAGAGTCTTCTGTGGAGGTTGACATGGCTACATAATTGCATAGTGATAGATGTATATACAAGTTTTCAATGAATGTAACCTCTGCCAGTCCATTGATTGAGTCACTGAGTTCCGAGTCCCGAGACCCGAGACCCGGAATTCGGCACTCGGGACTTGAGACAGATTTGAAACTTGAAACTCGAAAGCACTCGAATCTCGGGTCTCGGTACTCGGTATTCGGTACTCGACACGATGCTCGAAACTCGTAGAACTGTTTCGAATCACCGAAGTACTGACTACCGAGTGCCGAGACCCGAGATTCGGTACTCGGGACTCGGTAATCGACACGATGCTCGAAACTTGTAAAACTGTTTCGAATCACCAAGTACTGACTACCGAGTACCGAGTACCGAATCTCGGGTCTCGGTACTCGGTATTCGGTACTTGACACAATGCTCGAAACTCGTAAAACTGTTTCGAATCACCGAGTACTGACTACCGAGTGCTGAGACCCGAGATTCGGTACTCGGTACTCAGTAGTCAGTACTCGGTGATTCGAAACAGTTTTACGAGTTTCGAGCATTGTGTCAAGTACCGAATACCGAGTACCGAGACCCGAGATTCGGTACTCAGTACTCGGTAGTCAGTACTCGGTGATTCGAAACAGTTTTTACAAGTTTCGAGCATCATGTCGAGTACCGAGACCCGAGATTCAGTACTCGGTACTCGGTAGTCAGTACTTTCGAGTTTCGAATTTTGAGTTTTGTTTCCAATCTTTCGTCTTGCATGCCGAGTGCCGAATTCCGGGTGTCGGGTGTCAGTACTCGGTTCTCAGTACTCGGTACTCGGTGATTCGAGTCTCGAGACTTGTGACTCGTGATTTACAAATCGACATTTGAAACTTGTGATTTCTGAGAACAATGTGTATTATCTTATGTATTTCTGTACTCATTTCACCGACTACCGAGTGCCGAATCTCGGGTCTCGGGTCTCGGTATTTCAAGACAACAAAAATGTATATCATCTTAAATTTGAATTTTCTTAACTCGAGACTCGAAACTCGTAAAAATGTACAATACCTAGGCCTATCTGTCTATATGATACGTACATATCTGGGCCCACCCGTCTATCTAATATTACCCGACGTCGGCCTACCCATCTATGTAGAATTCCCCACGTCGGTCCACCCGTCTATCTAATATGACCCCACGTCGGCCCACCCGTCTATGTAATCAATAATTCCGCTCACCCTCGGCCCACCCGTCTATCTGATATTACCCCACGTCGGCCCACCCGTCTATCTAATAAATAACTCACCTCACCCTCAGCCCACCCGTCTATCTAATATTACCCCACATCGGCCAACCCGTCTATGTAATAAATAATTCCCCTCACCCTCGGCCCACCCGTCTATCTGATATTACCCCACGTCAGCCCACCTGTCTATCTAATAAATATTTCACCGCTCCCTCGGCCCATCCGTCTACAAAATCATACTAATATGTCAGCCCACACGTCTATATGATACTATTTACTATACATCTCTCCTCAGGTCTATAATATATGTCAATCCTACTCTACATATTACCACACATGGGCCCACCCATCTCCATAATAATATTTCTCCCGGCCCATCCGCTATCGTCGATGATATATATAACATCAGCATAGATGGGCCCACCCGTCTCCATCGGAAATAATATGCCTCCCGGCCCACCTGTCAACATCAGGAATATACATAACATCGGCCCATCATCCGCTGGCCCGTATTACACGGGATATTATGTAGGTCAGGTGACCCGTATAATACGGGATTTGTCACTGAAGGGGCTCATGTCCCAGTTGACTGACTTGCAGAGGCTTATGTGGAGCATGTCTGCATGGATTTTTGTTGATGTTTATTATTGTTTATTATTGGCACATAGTCCGTCAGATTTCGTCACATGCCATATGACCTTGCAAGGTGACAAGGTGATTTCTCTGCAAACGGACTCATGGGTGTGGGAAACGTGTGCTGGCTTAGTCAGTGGATGTGGGAAAGTATTGCGCTAGCCTTGTCCTTAAATGCTTGCAGATACACTGAAGCACGAACAAAGACACATGTGAGTATAATTCCCTCTCAATTCGTTCATTTCATTGCAGTATAGCTCGTGTGTTTTCAGCGGTTTTCTTACAAAGTTGCCCTGTCGTTTGGCTCGTGTCCTCGATGAAGGACAATGTCCTCCTTGTGATAAGCCCCATGATGTCAAGCACTATCCTCATTATTATGATGCTCTCTATTTAATCTTGCACTTTTTGAAACATCCGAAAGTTTTTGCACATGGTCAAAGTCTTCGCTTAAATCTAAATCTCATCCTTTGTGTTGCTCGAAGTGCCGCTGGTCAAATTTTTCATGGTTGTGTTTCATATGAAATATGGGGTCCATGTGTAGTCCATGTGTACGTTTGTTTATACGACGAGTGTGCGCAGCTTGGATCATTCCTTCGAACATTTGTCTAAACTTCTATGCATGAACAAGACCATGACCTCCTCAAAGGGCAAACGTACCGCAAAGACCAAGGCTAAAATAAAGGCGGAGGAAGCAGCGGCACTCCAGAGACGCAGAGCCCAAAAGGAAATTGCGGTTTTCGGGGAAGAACGCGAGCCACGACCCGAAGTTTTGTCTGTTGATGAGGTTTGGTGGCGCCGGCAGTATGAATGGCTGAAAGTTCGAGGATACCTACTCCGTCCTCGGTATGCTCTGGACTGGGTCCCATCCTGGGAAGGTTCCAAATGCCGTGTGTGGGATTGTGAAGATGGTCGTACTTTGCACGTAAGATGACGAAGTTTGGACTGCATGCTTGACTAGCTGACAGCTCCATAGTTTGGTCAAATCATGGATGCGACTCGCGTGTCTGACGGCTTGTATGTGTCTCTCAAAATGGTGAAGAAGTCAGAGCACCCTCATGAAGTAGAGATCGGGCAATATTTCATGTCAGAAAAACTTTCACCTGATCCCAAGAACTACTGCGTTCCATTTCTCGATGTCTGGTCAGTTCCAGACGAGAGTGATACACAAATTATCGTGATGCCATTATTGCTTCCATTTACCAAAATTCAATTTGATACCTTCGGAGAAGTGGTGGAATGCCTTCGGCAACTTTTTTGAAGTACATGCAACTGCTGTTGAGCTTCCATACCATCTTAGTCATTCAATATAGGGTCTGTTGTTTATGCACAACAATCATATTGCACACCGGTGGGTTATTCATAACTGCCAGGTCACATGTTTGTAACTAACTCGAGGACAGTGACTGCATGTGGAAGAACATTATGATGGATGCCCAAAACCTGCATACAGAACCATACCACCCCATAATACCTTTCATGAAGTGCAATTTCAGTGGCCATGTGGGTCATTATACTCGCACTCAGCAGCCACCAAAATATTACTTCATCGACTTTGGCTTATCGCACCGATACGATGCCAGTGAAGAAAACCCGCTAGAGTATCCGATGTTTGGGGGCGACAAATCAGTGCCGGAATTCTGGAACAATATGGATGTCCCGATGGACCCCTTCCCCACTGACGTCTACTATCTTGGCAATGTCGTCAGAGAACAGTTCCTGGATGTAAGTAAACACTTACTTGGTTACCCTTCATTTATTGCTTATGACTATAATCAAGATGAAAAAGGGACGATTGCCTCATCCTTCTTCCGCTTCAGAGGTGGCTCCTGGATGTCCAAACCATCCGTACCATCGTCATCCGGCTTGCGCCTTTTCCTGTTGCCGACCTGCAGTGCCGCCTTGCCTTGATGTCTTTATATTTCCTGCCATAAATAGGCTATATTTGGTGGTGGCGAGCGGAGGCGGCGCAACTGAAGGAGGAAGAGGGTTCAGCGGTTCTAGCACTGCAAATGTTGGAGCCAGTGACAACGGCGTAAGTTCTGTGGCCGGTACAGCAGCCTTCTCGATATGAACTTTGTCCGCAACCAGAACTCTTGGAGCGTTGGGTCCGGGGGATGACAAGGTGATGGTGCGGGTCTGCACATCCACAAGAATGTGAACAGTGGGAAGGTGGTAGTTCAATGTTTTGTGGAAGCGCAGATGGCCCATGATTCGCGGGTCAGTATCGATGACTGAGCTCCAGTCCGGCAATGTCTTAAAGACGCCACCCTTTGAATACTGCTGTACAACGGCTGCACAGGACAGTAGCTTTGGGGGGAGAAGTACCAGATATCTCAATATCCTAAAAATCAAATGAAGCCAGAGAGAAAAAGACTCACCATGCGCCTGGCGATCTCATCTGATAACCTTAAGGACTCAGGATTGCCCTCCTTCAACTTTGTAAAATGCTTTATGAGCGATTGCACAGTTGCCAAGGTGGTGTTGAGGGCATCATCCGCTGTTTCGGAAGGTGACATAGTGGTATTGAAACAAGCTGATGTGCTAAATGTAATATACGGAAAGGAAAGAAAGATGACTTGAAAAATTTACTGAAGTGTCAGAATTTATATGGATATGTCGGTTGTGGACGTTTCCGAGCAAGAGCACAGTGTGGACTCAGTTTGATCTGATTATGCTGTTATACCACGCCTTCCTCTGCCATTGTCCCATGCATTCATTTGCTACAGCTAACATTTATTGCAAATCAAGGTGGTGGAACTCGGTGAAGATGTTGCTGACATCCACCGTTTGCTGAGTATTCACTGACGGATCATGGACCCGCTTGATGCCATGATGGCAATGCTTGAGGAGTCACCAGTCTAGCAAGTAGATATTTCATAGAATGCCGGAAGCAAGCGCGCATCTATATTTGTACCACAATGAACCTATTATTCATATTTCCCCACCGGATGCAGGGACCAGAAACGAGACACCGATGCACCGCTGATTGCAAAAATCCTTGTATAACACAATGGGTAATGCCGTTGCATGGCTCACCAACCGTACATATTATCAGACTGCACATCAGCACTCTTGCACCTCCGAGGTGCAGTCCAGTACCATGGTGAAGCAATAGGCGGTGGAGAACCCCGCAGGTACGGTTGATATATGATTTCGGAGTAAATCCTCCCGGACCATATTCATATAGATCCAATGCGCCGGATCGCTTGCGGGGCACCCGACCATCTGGACAGATGGCATCCTGCTTCGACCAAGGGTTGGGTTGACTGAGGCAGCAGTAATATTGCTTTCCCTCCAATCAGCGCAGGACTTCCACTAGTGAGTATTGGTTGATGCTTGTGATGGTAGCTGGGCCCATCTGTTACCCTTTCCGAGATGAAATATAGGTATTGGGCTCGGAAACACTAGCCGAGCCCATCCATCGCCCTACCTGTCACCTTTCCGAGAGGTATGGCTTGAATAATTAGTTGGGCCCATGCGTCACCATTTCCGAGTCAAAATATGGGTACTGGGCTCAAAATCATTAGTTGGGCCCATCTGTCACCCGTTCAGAGGTGACATACTGGTATTGAGCTCGAAATCATCACATCTGTTTCCATTTCCGAGACAAAATTATCTGGGCCCATCCGTCACTCATTTGGAGATGAAATACCAGTGTTGGGCTGAGAAAAATGAGTTGGGCTCATCCATTTCCATTTCCGAGACGAAATTAGCTGGGCCCATCAGTCACCCTTTCGGAGAATAAATACTGGTATTGAGCTCAAAATCATCACATCCATGTCCATTTCGGAGACAAAATTATCGGGGCCCATCCGCAGCCTTTCCGAGACTTTATTTGCTAGGCCCGTCCCTTGTGAGACTACATCGACGGGCCCATCGGTCAGTATTGAGAGACTAAATGACGGATGAGCCCAGACAATGTAGCATAGGAAAGGTGACAAATGGGCCCATCCGTCAGCCTCCACAAGATAGGAAAGGCCACGGATGGGCCCAGACGATGTAGCATCAGAAAGGTGACGGATGGGCTCATCGAATGCAGCCTCGGAAAGGCTGCGGATGGGCCCATCTGTCAGCCTCCATGAGATAGGAAAGGCCACAGATGGGCCCAGACGATGTAGCATCGGAAAGGTGACAAATGGGCCCATCAAATATAGTCTCACAAGGGATTGGCCCAGCAAATAAAGTCTCACAGAGGCTGCATTCGATGAGCCCATCTGTCACCTTTCCGATGCTACATTGTCTGGGCCCATCCGTGGCCTTTCCTATCTTGCGGAGGCTGACGGATGGGCCCATCCACAGCCTTTCCGAGGCTGCATTCGATGAGCCCATCCGTCACCTTTCCGATGCTACATCGTCTGAGCCCATCCGCGGCCCTTCCGAGACTAAATTAGCTGGGCCCATCCCTTCCGAGGATGGGCCCATATGTCACCTTTCCTATGCCACATCCGCTGGGCCAATATGTCACCATTGCAAGACTGCATTCTCAGCCCATCCACTGCCTTTCTGAGACCAAATTAGCTAATAGGCGTATTGGCCTCAAAATTGTTGGTTAAACTGGCCCATCCGTCACCCTTTCCGAGACAAAATTCAAAACCATTTTGCACTACCTGGGCCCATGACCTGGATCCTGACAATTGGCCAATTCATCCTCCCTCACAACCTTGGCCCGCTCGACAGCATCGGATATAACTCCGTATTGTGGGCCCACCCATGCTCACCTGACTATGGGCCCATCTCGGATGGCCCGTCTAACTGGGTAGATTCTCAACCTTAGCTGTCCGACTAAGTCGGAAAATGTTACTGAATGGGCTCATGAATAACGACAACGCAGACGATATCTCCGGAACGTATAGCAGAAACAATGCACCATCTGTAACAAACGGCCAAATTCCCCTGATATCCGATGCAGTACTAGTGGACCGACTATGAGTGCAGGTTTTCTTCAGTTTTGCAACTACTGGCATAATCTGACTTAGACCATCCCTCAGCGTTATTTGGTGATGCGTATGCCTTCTCATTACCTCATTACAGTCGATGCCAAAACCAAACCCTGGTTTCTGAGACCAATTTGTGATCCTAATGATTACTAGATGACCATGATGGAACTACGTGAGGTGGAACTGTCACTGGCCGAGTTTTCAGCGGCTAGCCACTCAGGAATATGCTCACAGGTAAGATTCCACAAGTAAATTGCTGCGATGTTAACTTTTGATCAAAGATCTGGTTCCGGACTGCTGTTGAAAAATCGGACGCGCTGCTGCCTCTTAAGCCCAAGCAGGCTTATAGTGGTTTTGTGATGGAAAGAAGGACCTTGTTTTTACAGCCATTCTTCTGCAGTTTAGGCTTATGGGGCAAACCTGACGAGTTAGCAAAGAAAGCTTTAACGGATGTGAGTCACACTCCGCATCGCCGTGCCTCGACTCCTCAATGTTTTTGCTCTTTTTTCTCTGCAAGCATAGCTACTGATATCTTCTGCCAGTTCGACCTGATGACTTTGTTTCGCCAATCACCCATGACTGTCATATACCATATTCACGGGTACAGATCCGAAGATCCGGATCTCAGATACAATCCAGATCTGATGGACATATCCGTCGTCCGGTCCACAGATCCGATCTGATCCTCATTTCATGTCCGGTTCATATAACTCTAACTATTGTTCATCTCCTTTTGGCATTCCTGTACACCGGTATACCGGTTATCCTTTACTTCCGTTATGCTTACTGATCCACTACACTTACTGATCCGCTTTAGCTTATACTTCATTCCCGGTTATGATTCGTTACCCATCCGACTTACCGATATGCTGTACACATACATTGCTTATACTTCGTACATAGCCTCGCGCCTTTGCTTATTGATCATTCCGTTAGTTATCCGTAGTATATAAACCCTTGTACATGTGCTGTAGTAGATCAGTTCAAATATCATCTTAGATTGCACTCATTCTGTCAGGACTCTAAGTCCCTCTGTTATCCGTCCGGACTCGAGTACAATACTCTTGTCTATTCCAAGACTTAGGATTGATTCCTATAGTCTATATACAGTGGCTCAAAAAACCGTCCGTATGTTTTGGCATTTTTCACTATCTATAATATTGTGTGAGAACAAACAAATGCCTCAAAAACATGCTTATACCACATTGTAGTATGGCTTCAGGGCTTTCATTTGAGCCCTACACCGTGGGAATCGGTGGAGATATGGTGGAGATACAAGGCTCACAAAATGGTGACTCATGCGGACAGTTTTTTGACTCAAGTATTTTACAGTAATAACCAGGTATTCTAGTATTTTGTATGACCTCCCTTGGCTTTAATTACTGCCTCTATCCTTCTAGGCATACTCTCAATTAATTTCTGGCAATCCTCAGCTGTGATCTTCCCCCATTCCACTGCTACTCTCTCCCAAAGCTCCCATACTCCTTTAGGGGGGTTTTCATAGGCTTGAAGCTTTTTCTTGAGTGTTCCCCAGAGATGTTCAATGACATTGACATCAGGAGACTGTGCTGGCCAGTCAAGAACATTGATGTTATGTTCTTCAAACCATTCCCTAGCTCTTCTGGATGTGTGCTTGGGATCATTATCCTGTTGGAAAATGATATCTTCTTCATCAATCCCTGATTCTGCCAAGCTAGGCAGCAAGTGGTCATTTAAAATGTCCACATACTGCTCAGCATTCATCTTCCCCTCAACCTTGAGCTAAGGCAAAGGCTAGTCTTCTCTGCCTATGTTTGATGGAGAGAAGAGGCTTTTTTCTTCTTTGTTACTGCCTTGAGATGAGCTGCCTTGAGAAAATTCCTCACAGTTTGTGAAGAGACAGGGGTAGTGATGGTGGAATTGATATAATGGGTGGCTTGGACAGCATTATCAGCCTTTCCTGTAGTGATATGTTGGATAATAGCCCTTTTGTCAGTAGAGGTAAGCTTGGATGGACGTCCTCCACAAGAGTTTTCCTTGTCTGGGTGGCTTTCTTTGATGAACTTGGCCACAGTGGACTTGCATATTCCAGTTCTAAAGGAAATTTGGCGAGCAGAGAGGCCAGCATAAGACAGAGAGAGGATATTATCTCTTTGAGCAGAGGAGATGGCTTTCATGGTGATTATGACTATGATACATGAGATATTCTGGTTTATATAGTTAGATATAGTCATAAAATAACATAATGACACCACTTTATAATTTATATAATAGTGGCATGATTTTTATGGTGTCATAAATAATGATTTATATAGTTTTAATATACACTCAAAAAACTGTCCACATGAGTCATCATTTTATAAGCCTTATATCTCCACCATATCTCCGCCGATTCCCACGGTGTAGGGCTCAAATAAAAGCCCTGAAGCCATACTACAATGTGGTATAAGTATGTCCTTGAGGAATTTGTTCATTCTCACACAATATCATAGATAGTGAAAAATGTCAAAACATGTGGACAGTTTTTTGAGCCACTGTATCCGTCTCTGTCTTCGGACAGTCCTCACCCGTTAGTTTCTAGTTTGGATCCGATCCGGATTAGCTGTTACTCTATACGTTTGATATCCGGAAGCCTTAACGGATCTGTTACGATACTTATCCGTCTCACTAGACGCGATACTCTAGCACTCTGAAATAAGGGGCAAGACTCAGGAAAGGGGCACAGCGCACGAGCTGAGGCCGAAGCCCTTCAGATCCGATACTACTTGAGTACGGTCTTAACAACGACAAGCGATTCTGACATTTCCAACTCAACACCGCTTCCATCGCCCACGAAGTCCTTAACAAAATACACTTCCTGATCCATGACAGCCCCACAGGCCAAGTATCATACACCACACACACCCGGCGTTGGCAAGAAATTTATCATTGAATGGTCGACCCCTAGTATTTCCAAATCATTCCATGTTGGACGCCTTCGAATTACAATGATGATCTATGATGTCGTCACAGAAGGGCCTGTACCTCTACTGTAAATGCATTCTTTGATGCACACTCAAATATGGTTACCACGGCTGCATTGCAGGCATCACATATGTTGGATATATGGTTCACGAGTGGTTGATCGCTCATTATTGTATTGTCTGCTGACTCCTTGTAGATTTATGACATTCCTAACCATTGCGAAGATGGTGTCCACCATATTTGTCGTACTGGAGTAAGTTCTGACTTGGCATATTAATTATTGGTCTTGATCCTGCTCACCGTGCTGGTATAAAAGGCACTGCACCGCCGACTCCACCTTAGTCGATCTCACTTGCCACCATCGACTCCCAGCATCATTGCACCGTAAGTTCATTGTCAGTGTTTCTTCATCAACCGACTTGATATTATTATTGTTATCTCATTGCGGTCATGGTCGCCAGGGTTTTTCACGGGCAACATCGATAGCGCCGTCCGATTTGTGGAACATTTTCCTGCGCATGCGCTAGTTCTTATATCCTCTGTAGTGACGGGAAAACCAAGTAGCACACGTCAGGTCGACCGGGGGGGGAGCAGTCTCGACTCTCAGGTGAAGGTGCCAATACTCTTTCAGCATTCAGTCTCGGGAACCAATTTGTGCATGCTCTCTGCACTATCCTGTGCGCCCTTGCACAGGCTTTGCAGTTATTCTGACTTTCAAACACAAGAGTGTAGTGACTCCCGTGGGCTATGATGATCCTGCCAATAGCCAAAGTGCGTCGTCGACCTGCAGAATCCTGCACCTCCGGCATTGAGTGCTATTTTAATCCTCATCGTCATTGCTACTATGCAAACTCAAGCCCCGCTCATTTGTACACTTCATTTCCACGTAGCTAAATATCCAACCGTGTATGATGTTTCTTGCTGCCAACGTCCTTGTTTGAATTATGCTATAGACTCTAACATATCGAGGGTTTCCAAATTCATCTGCTGTGACCCTCGATGCTCACGATGGAGAGAATATGTGCTATGTTGAGGCTCGTCAGGGAATCGACATGCCATGAGAACTTCGTCAAAGTGAAGGGGAGTCTGATTCTGATTCTACCAGTCTAGCAATACGGAACTGTGCCTTTAACTGCTGGAGGTTATCTCCTCAACGCAAGGTCCATAGAGAGAGTAGTAAGGTCGTATACACAGCCAAGCAAGTTGAATGATAGACACATTTTCGCATGATTTGTATAAACCATGCGGATCGAAAGTCGTGTCTTTCAATTGTCTGGGCGCGGCAGACTCGGAGCTCATCTCTATATTTGCTTGTTTCTGAGAGATATTCTGATCTTGTTCAAGTTTGGCACGACCATACTGGATTCAAAAAATAAGGTCACAAGAGAAGCCAAAAAAGATGTGATGAAGACGGCATCTATGCTCCAGAGATGCGTTAATGTCATGGGCAACAAAATGGAATACTTCTCTCAAAAGTTGTGCACAACTCACGTAATCGCCTATCAAAGTGCAGCAAATTGTTCTCGCCTTTGTTGGACAGATGTATGACCTACTGTATGATCTTCCTCACACTTGCTTCGCTATCAATGCTATCAGTTTTTGGAAGGATGGTTGTATACTTGCTAGTGGTGACGATGACGGATATATTCGACTCTTTGATTTTCCACTAGGAAAGCAACTGCGTAGACTGAGGGTTGCTACTGCTGTAATCTCACTTTTATGGCATTTAAACAAACCTGGAGTCATTTTTCATTGGTAATGCTAGGGGCAGTGTCACTGTTGTGAACCTCCATGTTGAAGTGAGTGTGATAATGGTACTGACTGGTTCACATCTGACATCTGGGTCTATCTTGAGTGTCACGCTCAAGGTTTTTCTCTTCGCACTGGGGTTAATGCTCCAGTAGATACATTAGCCTATGATGCCTGCAATGGGCATCTTGCTGTTGGAGTTGGCACTGATATCATCCTATTTAACGACCCTGAAGGTGACGCGAATCATCCCTCAGAAAAACACAAAGGCTAAAATTTGTGCAGATCCTTGGACGTTTGGTTCAAATATTCCGCCACCACCTACTATGTCCGGCACGGACAAGCTCTTACTACCCTTACCCCATGTTCTGAAATTCAGTGACGACGGACGTTGTCTCATTGCGGTGTATTTTCAACACAGTATTGTGTGGGTGATGTCATTTTATACTAACAGAAGACTCTCGATTGATCGTCATTCAAGCTCCTGGCTAATAAATTCTCTCCAACCAGAATGGACCATCTGGCCAAAACACATGCATGTGTATGTGCATTATTATTTCATGATTGCAATTATTAGGTGATATAGATAGTTGATTAGGGGAGGTGCCTGTTTCTCCACTGATGGAAGGACCATTATCATGTCAAATCTCTTCGATGATTTCAATTGTTACAATATCAGTGATGGTAGGCATTTAGCCAACCTTCCAACCCCCATTATCCACAATGTTCCCCTACCTTCACTATTCATTGAAGGTGGCCAATCTATATTGTGCGGGAGCTCCTGTGGATATGTTTTGCTATATTCTGGAAACATGGATAATGTCCTTCAGGTATTGAGACACTGTGGTATGAACCTTGAAATTAATGCTGCTACTATATCAACTGATTCGATGCCTCCTCTAGAGCACGACATCATCCAGACATTGGTTCGTTTGTCGTGTAATGTTTTGGTCTGAATTGGGACTGATCCATCGGAGAAGGCATATTGTGAAAGTGAGGCGAGATTCATTGCGACAGCCTCATCAGAGGCTGAGTCAGAAAATTATATTCGCATCTGGAGAGCAAGTGCAAGTGAGAGATACTTTTTCCTGAGCACCTATATGAGTTCTCACAGTAGTGGCTGACATGACAGCTTCAGAAAAGATATCAGTAAGTTGTTAACATGATCAAATCCTAGAGTCCCATTCTGACGAGAGAAAGGGTTCTTCATGGTGGCGCTGGAGTGTTGGTGGAATATCTGTTATGTGACTGATATTTCTTGTGGTAGTATTTTTTTGGGTTGAATATTTAGGTGTTAATGCAGCGCAGGTCTGTCTACTTTTCTCTATCCTTCTCTCGCTTTCTCTCACAGCTGGTAACAGACCTGTGTAGAAAGAAAAATCCTGGAAGCATTAGAAATCTGGCACCACCTGGCCAATCAAGCCTTTGAGGCTTCAGCCCCGTCATTCATTTTTACTTGGCGCTGGGTCAAGACTACGTTATCATCGCTTAATCTTGCCAGTCTAGAGACCTAATAGGTCTGATAAATATATTGTGAGAAACGAACTCCCCTTGGAACATTGGTTAGCCAAATGCAGTCAAATCGAATCATAATCGTTTGAGCATCCCAAGTTGTGGCGGTTATCTCAAATAATAGCTAGACCTATGTTCCTGTTTACCCCAATTACAAAGGTATGTTGGTTATGATTCTAGAACAGGAACCAGCTTGATTGTGACTTCACGAAAGGGTATTGCAATCACTGGCGTCTTTGCCCTTTGTATGATTGCCTCGTGTGATGTGCGGCGGGGCGGTGATAGTATTATGGATTGCTCCAAGCTGCTGGTTTGTCCGACTGTATTAGGGAGCAGCGATTTCCGGCACACAATCACTGGTGTCTTTGCCCTTTGTATGGTTGCCTCGTGTGATGTGCGGCGAATACTAACCATGACTCATCTTCTATTGATTTTTTGGGCGGGTGATAGTACAATGGATTGCTCCGAGCTGCTGGTTTTCCTACCGTATTGGGTTTTTCATTTACAGGCTATCATATACCCTTAGCTGTTCCTGTTGTTACTACATGGCAAAATTAGGCGACTTTCTTGTGACAACGAATTGCTAGCCATATGAGTTGAGGATCCCCAGGAAGTCCCCATTTCCCTTTGGGAATTGGTTCGGGAAAGATGAAAGAATGTTCCAAAGTTTGCAAACACGTTGAGATTTACTTATCGATGATATCGAATCGCGACTATTTCACGTTTTCACTATTTTCACATCTGAAACTAGCACTTCATCCTTTTCAATTATCTTCTTTGTCATCACCATGAGATTCATGGCCTTTGTCCTTCACATCTCCCATGCACATGTACGTTCCATTTATTTCTCAGGCCTTCCCCTTTGACCTTCACTTTACATATAACACAGCATGTCGTCTTGGAATATTTACGCCAATTTCACCTGTTTTGACCTTTTGGCCTGTTGCTTTGTACACATTCGGTATTTTCGAAGTCTCGTCTTTATCTTCTCTCTCGATTGACTGTTCTTCCTGCGCAACATATCAGCAGCTCTTCAATGCCGAGAAACCAAGCAGGGATTCATGCTCTACTGAGGAAGTCGTTTATGAAAACTTCACAACACCCAATTTTACCTGTTCTCTGCACAATCAAAGCGTGAAGCCAAAGTTACCAAGCTTCAAGCACTGTTTGCCAACAACGAAGCCCTCGTCACGGGTTCAGAATACTTTTGTAGCTGTGAGTCATTTCACCATGTCTGTTACCGCTCAGTCAAGTTCAACAGACATTTTCAGTACTTTCCGAAAAAACGCTCAATGATCCTGCTTTAGTCGAATTCCAAGACTATCACACTTTCGAGGGAGGGATTTCTCTCAATTATTATGGCTATGTGTCCGACAGCGACCTTGATGAAGACGACGACGAGGGGGAAGAAATCGATGAAATTGTCAAAGACAGTAGGTGGATTTACCTAACGTGGTTCACAGGGTTTACTTTAAGACAATATTTTGAAGATGACAAATGCATCAATGCTTCTGCGGAACAAATGTGTCGAACAGCATCGGTCAAGAATTTTAATTTCAAGGGAGCGCAACGTATTGTCTCAAGCCGCAGACTATTGATAACAGATACTGCATTCAACACGTGCGGTTCACTATTCTACCACCTGGTTCTTTTGCTTACTGACTTTCATAGATGGCAATCTTTATTGTACTATTTGTACACTGACGAGATCGTTTTTGCGCCTTTGCGATCACAGGAAAGTGAGACGGCCAGATGTTGCAGCCTTGATGGGCCTCCGCCATGCTCACCAAAATCTATGTATCGCCTAGCGTGCAAGGTGTGTCTCTCATGCAATATTGGATACCCTTGTGAACTGATACATGGAATCGTACCAGATAAAGCATCCCAAATTGCAGGCTAAAGTGCTTGGTGCCATACGAGCAAGTCTGACTGAGTACAATATTCTACATGAATGCTCGTCTTCTCTAAAATCCAAGTTAGTTCAGTATATATTTTCCTATTTTCCCTGGCTTACCATCACTTCAGTCAACCACTTGAAAAGACCTCTTAGGTCTATTGGTTTGTGGCTAGCAAAGGACCTAGTGGGTGTGCTTTAGGATGGTATTCCCAATAATTACCCTATATACTGGGATGTCCCAGACCACACTGGACCAAGTATCTGGGCTATCCCCAGTACCTATTTGTGATCTTTCCCAATCCCATCTGGGATCAATTTAGCATTTCTCCGGGACATCCCTGTGCATCTATTGTGTGGACTTTCCCATCATAAATAAGAGTGACAGGGGTCCATTTTGAAACATTTTGGGACATTGAAATATGCAATTTGTACGTTGATTGGAGCAAGAAGTGGCAGGTATATATGTGTGTGCATGTATAACAATTGAACAATAGGATGCCACAATAGCAAAGAGAAGACACCTATATTTTCTTAACACAATCACATTGAAGGATTGACATGATGTGATTATACAAAAGTCTATATGGAATTATAGGACATTGTTTAAGCTCTCCACAAGGCAAACTAAGGGAGGAGAATTTCCTCAAAATAATAGTGTTGAAAATTGCAAAAACATCTTTATTTTTTTAACCCCATAATTAAGATAATTTGCAGCACAAAATTTCCCAAACTGTTTAAAATTACATAAAGAGCTGACTCACTTAATTGAAACTTAGATAATTAGGATTCTATTTTTTTAGTTTAAAATAAAAACAATAATAAATTAATTAATGAAATAAGTAGAAATCAATCCTTATCATTTAGTATCGCCTTTGAAATAATAAATAATAATATAATGGGCTTAATTATTTACATAGGTGCAATATCAATTGATCTGATTCCAATAATATTTAAAGATATTTTACATTTTTAAAATGAAAGTTATAAAATTATTCCTAGTTGGCACAAATATTTGGACTGTCCTACTGACCCTCTCCACATCAGCTACTGTACTAATGCAATCAATTTGATGGCCTACTGTGACTATGACCTTGTATACTGATTTGGCAATACCATATTTTTCAACATTTTATCACAGCTATATGAAATGAAATAGAGCTCCAAAAAATATTATGCATTAAAAAATACTAAAAGTTCAAATTCAGAGACTTTGTTTTACATCTGTTCAGTAGTGACACTGTTTCAATGTCATCACCATCCAGACTATCCCACCTACCATGTTGTCACCATCTGGGCTCTCCCACTTGGCCTTCTATGAGTATTGACATGTCTATTTTGCTTGCCATTCAGGAAAGCTAAGTGGGAAAGCCCAGATACTCATGGAATGCCAGCCTATATACTCATAGAAGGCCAAGTGGGAGAGCCCAGATGGTGACAACATGGTAGGTGGGATAGTCTGGATGGTGATGACATTGAAACAGTGTCACTACTGAACAGATGTAAAACAAAGTCTCTGAATTTGAACTTTTAGTATTTTTTAATGCATAATATTTTTTGGAGCTCTATTTCATTTCATATAGCTGTGATAAAATGTTGAAAAATATGGTATTGCCAAATCAGTATACAAGGTCATAGTCACAGTAGGCCATCAAATTGATTGCATTAGTACAGTAGCTGATGTGGAGAGGGTCAGTAGGACAGTCCAAATATTTGTGCCAACTAGGAATAATTTTATAACTTTCATTTTAAAAATGTAAAATATCTTTAAATATTATTGGAATCAGATCAATTGATATTGCACCTATTTAAATAATTAAGCCCATTACATTATAATTTATTATTTCAAAGGCGATACTAAATGATAAGGATTGATTTCTACTTATTTCATTAATTAATTTATTATTGTTTTTATTTTAAACTAAAAAAATAGAATCCTAATTATCTAAGTTTCAATTAAGTGAGTCAGCTCTTTATGTAATTTTAAACAGTTTGGGAAATTTTGTGCTGCAAATTATCTTAATTATGGGGTTAAAAAAATAAAGATGTTTTTGCAATTTTCAACACTATTATTTTGAGGAAATTCTCCTCCCTTAGTTTGCCTTGTGGAGAGCTTAAACAATGTCCTATAATTCCATATAGACTTTTGTATAATCACATCATGTCAATCCTTCAATGTGATTGTGTTAAGAAAATATAGGTGTCTTCTCTTTGCTATTGTGGCATCCTATTGTTCAATTGTTATACATGCACACACATATATACCTGCCACTTCTTGCTCCAATCAACGTACAAATTGCATATTTCAATGTCCCAAAATGTTTCAAAATGGACCCCTGTCACTCTTATTTATGATGGGAAAGTCCACACAATAGATGCACAGGGATGTCCCGGAGAAATGCTAAATTGATCCCAGATGGGATTGGGAAAGATCACAAATAGGTACTGGGGATAGCCCAGATACTTGGTCCAGTGTGGTCTGGGACATCCCAGTATATAGGGTAAATTATTGGGAATACCATCCTAAAGCACACCCACTAGGTCCTTTGCTAGCCACAAACCAATAGACCTAAGAGGTCTTTTCAAGTGGTTGACTGAAGTGCTTACCATCAGGATACCGCATGCCTTCTCAAGGTTTCCTCTAATCACTGAAGCGGAAACTGAGAGTTTGCTACAGCTTATTACCACTCCGACTGCCATGAAGGACTTTCCTACAATCGCTGGCACTGACCTTTTGCCTGAGGATGATGATCCTAACTGAACTCCACATATGGAAGAATGTTGCTCAGGTGACACTAGACTGACTATAAGCTTCTTCTCCCTTGTACCTGTACCCAGCATGTAAACCAAATACTGGAACCACTAGAATTTATCGCTGTATGTGTTGTATCATGCCCGACAAATAGTACTTTGAGTTGTCTGGATATTCACTCCCACCTCTAACCTAATATCTTACCAGGACTCCCCTTTGGTCGGCTCTACGACAATATATTGTGTTTACAGTAGCAACTCAGGAAATACTATATTAGTGTCGTCTCTGCAAATAGACAGTATCTCTTCACATTCTCACTTTCGACAACACTGCACAATTGACTGTGAGTGAAGGGATCAGTCTGGAGGTCGAGCACGGTTTGCGTTAGTGTCAAACCTTAACATCCTTTAAATGTAGTTGCATATGCGACTCGCAGAGGAAACTGTCTTCGATTCACTGTCCATGACAAATTGTTTGTATGGAATGCGGAGAGTGCGGTGGCTTTCAAATGTATTGAGAAGTTGGACTTAGGTTGAGGAAGTGATGATGCAGTATCATTTCTAATGAGAGGTTACATACTCCAGGATGGGTTAACATCGCAAGACATTTGAGTGTGTGTTCTGGTGCGTTCGATCAAGTCTGCTCAACTTCTTTCAGGCTGTCTTAACTAAACATGGTTTGGACAGTGATTGATATCACTTGCGATTATGGTGCTGGATCAGTTCAAATATTATACACACAAAATCCACACATACATACAACATTTTCACACATACACAATCACATACCGTTGCCGAGACGTGTGAACTCCAGCGGGACCCCCCGTTTTGGTAATACTGCGCGATGACACAACACTTGAGCCTTGAGCTCGCTGTCGAAGACAGCAAGCTCAAATACTCGCCCAATTCTTCTCCCTTTTCCATAATTCTTTCTGTAATACATAAATTTGTAATAAATGTGTTACTTGTGGCACATCAATTATGCTATATTGACCATGATTCTGCCATACTCACAATATTCACTACTTCCTATCATGCATTCATACTGGGCACTCTGAAGGGCTTATTATGGGCTTAAATGATGATGTATTCATTGTATAAATATATTAGAACTTCTACAGAGACATCAATATCCAATTAGAATCCAAAAAATCGGTCAGGGTGGGGAGGAGGAGGGGAAGGTGGTGGAGTGGTGTATCCACGACTGTGTGCCTGCATGTCGCGAGCAAGGCAAGAAGCAGTGGAGAGCACTACTCTACGACAAAGCCCAAAGGACACTGAGTGGCTGACTAAGCTACAGTGCTACCCAGCTGCTACTCTGCCCCTTGCCTAGGGGTCCCCCACTCCAATGGGGAAGGAGGGTTGTCCAGGTAAGCATAGTTAACTAGTTACCAGTAACACATTTATGTATTACAAAAAGAATTAGGGAAAAGGGAGAACAATTGGGCAAGTATTTGAGCTCACTGTCGAGGACAGTGAGCTCAAGGCTCAAGTTGCGCAGTATTACCAAAACAGGAAGTCCCACTAAAATTCACGCGTCTTGGCAATGGTACACAATTGTGTATGTGTGAAAATGTTGTCTGTATGTGTGGATTTTGTGTGTATAATATTTGAACTGATCCAGCACCATATGCAATACTTATGAAAATCGCCTGGCAAGTTGTCTAGAATTTTATTGCTGAAAATCCATCAACATAGACGTTGAGAGGGAAAAGGAATGCACAATCAATACAGCTTTCAGCGTCTTCGAGAATTTCTGGGAAGAGGACATCAATGGTGTCATTGAAGTTTGTGGTCCTGTGTCCAACAACACTGTGAAATGAAGCAGAGGTCCATACTGAGCAAGGAGCCATAAAAAAGACAGAGCATGAATGTTAACAACATTAACCTACAACAACACAGTATGACATGGTGGACTGAAAGCTTAAGAGCCGTAAGAGACAGAACACATCAACACAGCATGATGTGGTGGACACAGTAGCACTCGCTGCTGGCGGTATCTCGTGCTTAATACATGTATATATATATATAGATAGATAGACAAGGATACCCCTTCAGTCTGCTCTTTGGCAACAAATTGTGTTTACAGTAGCAACTCAGGAAATACAATAAGGTAGACATCTTGTGAAAACAACAAACCTCATGTGACTTAGATGATAATATTGTGAGCATCAGAAAATCAATTAAAGTACTAGGGCTACTACAAACATCAGGAAATCACCAAGTTCCTTATTTGTTCCTTATTTTCCTTAATTCACACAACAAGGCAACTCAAAAATAAAGAGAATAAGGAGATCCATTCACTTAAACTAAGGCGTTTTCCTTAAAATAAGGCAGATAAGGTGATCAAAAAATACTATTATTTTGAGACATAGACTAAGTATGCTAAGGCTAATACATGAGTTCAAGGCGTCCTATGAAAATCTCCAAAAAAATGTGTCTGAAAACAAGTAACAATAGTGGGAGCAGGAACCAATACAAAGCAGGAGAGTTAAGCCATGAGGTTGTTTAATGACATGACTGATCTGTCTGACTGACCAGGAGCAAAGCCAGTGCTTCCCTGTGAAGTGCATGTCAGATGTAGAGGAATAGGGGAACCAGGAACGATGTCATTGACATTGAACCAGGTATGAGTGCAATCAATGCATTTGGCCAAGCTCCTCAATATCCCATATTCGTACCAGTTGACCATTGTGGTGCAATAATGGACTTGGGTGCTACCTCTCATTTCTGTCCTGATCACTCTAAATTTGTCAACTTTGTCTGTATTGCCCCCCAGGATGTGCATAGACCTACCCTTAGGGGGGAAACATACCTTGGTAACCTTAAAAAGTGTACTGTATGCACCCACCATGGTATTTACCCTCATCTCCATGAATCGCATCACTGCAGCAGGATTAGCTGTCCATTTCAAGGACAAAATGTGTAAGATACTCTCACCTGGACCGAAGTGAAAGTTAATCGCCGAGATACCCCAGGTAGGTGGTCTCTATACGGTCATAGGTCAGCATAAGGAGCGGGTGAACATAGCCAGAGCCAGACTTACCATTTGGGAGCTGCACTGTATCCTAGGCCACATCTCCTAGGATACTGTCTGCCAGATGGTAGAAAAAGGGCTTGTTGAAGGAGTAGAGCTTGATAGCTCCTCCACGCCCGAGTTTTGCGAAGCCTGTGCGAAAGCCAAGGCAATACATCATCTATTCCCTGAGGAAACCAAAACCTGGGCACTCACCTATGCAGAACTTGTCCATACTGATCTGTGGGGTTCTTCCCAGACTACTAGCATGGGTGGTTGCACCTACTACATCACCTTCACAGATGACTACAGCCGCGAGATCAAAATACAATTCCTGAAGCAGAAGGGTGAGGCTCTGACGGCATTTAAGCAATACAAAGCTCACCTTGGGAGACAACACCCCGGTGTTTGACTCCAAAAGGTCCGTTCTGACTGAGGGGGAGAGTACCTCAGTGCTGAGTTTGATAAGTACTTAATGGACCAGGGCATTGAGAGACAGCTCACCATTCACAATTCGCCTCAACAGAATGATGTTGCTAAGAGGCTCAATGCAACTCTGGTTGCACATGCCTGGGCCATGCTGCTGGCAAAGAACCTACCCAAGTTTCTGTGGGCCAAGGCTGCGAACTACACTACTTGGTTGAAAGCATGTCTTGTTGCCAATGGCCAATGCCAAAAGTATGGAGTTGACTTCTTCAACACATTTGCCCCCACTTCCAACATGTCTACCATCCGGACTGTCCTAGCTATGGCCACTCAGCGAGATTGGGAGATCCACCAGGTATATATAAAGAGCGCTTACCTTTATGCAGAGCTGAAGGAAGAGATTTACATGCATGCACCACCTGGGTACCTCAATGCAGGAGATGAGGGGAAGATACTGAGGTTGAGGAGAAGTGTGCTGGAATTGAAACAGGCTGGATTCGAGTGGGCTGAAGAGTTAGCAGGAGTATTTGCCAAGATCAGTTTCATGCACTCACAGGTTGACCAAGCGGTCTTCTACAAGCACTCTAATGATGAACACATGGTTATTACCATGTCAGTCGACGACATGGCTGTTACCTCCTAGCATCTACCCACATCACTTGTTTCAAGGTCCAGTTGTGCAACCACTTCGAGATTACTGGTTTAGGTGAGCTAACATGGCTCCTGGATCTTAAGGTTGTCCAAGATTGTTCTGCATGGAGCATTGCCTTCTCAAAGAGTGCCTATGTGCACACCATCCTCGAGTGCTTCAACCTCACAGATTTGAAGGCCGTTTAGATGCCCATGGAGGTAGGATGTGTTCTCTCCATGGAGCAGTCTCCTTCCACACTCACCAAGCATGCTGCCATGTGAGATATACCCTATCAAAGGGGCATTGGGTCACTAATGTATGCAGCTACTAGCACACGACCAGACATAGCATTTGCAGTGGCCCCCCTCTCCCAGTTTATGTGGATCCTAGGCAAGGTCCATTGGGAGGCCAGCAAACATGTTATGAGGTACCTGAAGGGGACAGCAGACTTTGCACTCACCCTGGGAATGTTGGATGGAGGACTTGAAGCCTATGTCGATGCAGACTGGGCATCTCAGCCTCACCGTCACTCTATGTTGGGGTACGTGGTTCTATTGAATGGAGGTCCTGTTGCATGGAGTGCTCACAAGTAACCACTCATCACATTATCCACCACCAAAGTGGAGTACATTGCTCTCACCACAGTAATGAGATAAATCCTCTACCTCCAGCTCCTCATCAAAGAACTCTACCATACTCCCCCGGTATCCACTCCTATCCACTGTGACAACCAAGCCACCATTTCCCTTGCCTCAAACAACAAGTTTCACTCCCACACAAAGCATATTGACCTCCATTATCACTTTGTTTATTCCCACATCAAGAACAGCACCTTTATCTTGAAGTACTGTCTAACTGATGATAACCTGGCGGATGCATTTATGAAGGCATTGGCCAGACCACACCTCCAAAGGCTTCACACCCTAATGAGCATTGATTCCACTCGAGAGGGAGTGTCAGACTTAGAGGAATAGGGGAACCAGGAATGGCATCATTGACGTCGAACCAGGTACAAGCACAATCAATGCATTTGGCAAAGCTCCTCAATATCCTGTATGTCACAAATTTTTCATTCCTATCTTACTCATACTATAAAGAACGCATAGCGCAGTAGATGCATCTCAGTCTCTTACCAGATACTGAGATGTGAGTAGATGTTTTCCTTCCTGTCGTAGTACTGAGCTGATGTCAACTAGAATATATTCTCCTCCTAGCTCCTTCTCGTCACAATTGCTCGCCTGTCATCATGACAGTGCAATAGCCTCATTCAAGTCTTCACCATTGCCTCAATGATAAAAGTGGGAGGAGAGTTGATTCATAAGGTTGTTCAATAACGAAGACCAATTTGGGTGACCAACCAGGCAAAAAGCCAGTGCTTCCCTGTGAAGTGTGGTAGCCTCATGCAAGTCTTTATCATCACCTTGGTGGTTAAAGTAGAAGGAGAGTTGATTCACGAGGTTGTTCAATGACTGAGACCAATTTGCATGACCAAGTGGGCGCAAAGCCAGTGCTTACCTCTGATGTGCATGCCAACTTATACACAGGAAATATTTAGGTCACTGCACTCTTCCAGACAGTATTTTACAAGAACTTGGTGACAACAAGATTACATAGACTTGACTCGACTCAGAATAATATAGTTAATAGCTAAATAGTACATACATTCAACACTTTGCTACTTACATACTTTGATATGACATGGCTATATGTGCCCCATTTCTGATGGGAGCTGAGTTTTTGTAACTTGCTGGGAAATTGGACTGATTGTATGCATGCAATTGTATTGTAGAATACATAATGAATGAGAGTATGCAAAAATGAACAAGTCTTGATGATGGTGTAAGGCAACAGAGAGATGAGGCACATCATATCAATATTTATGCATTTCATGTTATATTGGTCATATGTTCTCAATTTTTACAACTAGACAGACTGACTTGGCTAATAACAATGTTCCACACACTTGTTTCATCAATCTGACTATCTAGATGGGGTTCTTGACTAGTAAAAATGGGGGCCTTCCAGTATTCTAAGGTTTCCCCCTACCTTTTACTGATATACAGCATGACTTTACAAGGCAGTTAGGTGTATTTCTTGCTTGCACTATTTGCCTATGGCATTTTGAATTTTAATTTTTAATTCAAAGACCCTATGTCAGACATAGCTCTATTTGAGTGCAGGGGGCTTGTTCCCTTATGTACTGTATGTGTGATGCAAGAAACACATACTCTGTTGGCATGATGCCAGGCAAAGGCCAACAGCCAACTTCATACAAAGGGAATGACTGTTGTTGTAAAGTAGGGTTTGAACATTGATTGGGGTCCAGAGTTTTCATTTTGTTTGGGAGGCTGTTGTGCACACCTGCAGGTACACCCACAGGTAGATATACCTGCATGTTTTTTAGTAAACCCTATGCACACAAGGCCAAGGACGGGGAAACATGTTTGGTCTGAGACTGTGGGTCATGCAAGTAAGTATGTGCTTTTTAACTTGTAAGACCAGGCCCAGGTCAAGGAAAGTTGAGGTGTAGTGTCCAGGTATAAGGGAACTAATAGGGGCTAAAAAGCGCACACTATAGGTGACTACTTCTAAGTAAAACCTAAGGGAAGGAAATACAGTAGAAGGGAAGTAAAGATGAAGTTGTCACCATAGGAATTTCATACTAGACTGAACCCTCTCAGAGTCAGAAGGGATAGGATATGCAGACAGTAAGAATATGTAAGGACATGTAATAAGGCTGCAACACTTGTTACAAAACATAAGGCAAGGCAAAATATGTACCAATGAGGTAGGATGGACATTGGATGGATGTGGACCTTCCAAAAGCAGTTCCTAAGGCATGAGAACTAATCTGCAGGTATGCGCATAGCACAGGAATGAGTCTCCGGGTCCACAGAGTGTGAGAACATGAGTCCAAAGTGGGTTAAGCATGGGAAAAGCACTATGAGGAGCAGACATATGCAGATGCATCTAAAACACATTACTGGTTCAATCTGATAGCATACAAAGCATGGAAAATGTGTGGGTTAAGGTGTGGGAATGTGAATAACACTGTGGAGTGCATGTGGGTAGTGCAGGAAAGTATGGACTAAGCATCAGACAAAGATTACAGCTGAAACAAGTGAAGACCACATATAGGGGAATGGTGAATGATATGAGGGCTACTTTCTACCACCTATCTGAGGCTTATGCAGTCATACAAGCCTAGCATGAGAATGATTGTCACACCATTCTCAGTTTTTTCCAGGCCCAATATATCACTATCAAAGACTTCAATGAATTGTCCCTACCAATTTTCAAATGACCCACAGATTGAGGTCTTAGAAGTTAGGATGATTCAATGCCAGTGCATTCTGCAAGTAGTTTATGGATGACAGTTATGAGGAGACATATTTTGCACACTCTCTACACCATTTTCAAGAGGAACATATGCAGCACTCCTTCCAAGCGCTATCTCCCCAGCATGAATGATATGTTCAATCACTTATTCAATACACTCATAAGTACCTATTTTTGGACACTTCAAAATTCTGCTTATCTTGGGTATGGATGCAGGTTGGGATTTTAAGACCCCTGACCCATTGCATACCTGTTGCTTCCATATATGGTAATTATTCCATGTTAACTCCCAAAGCTCCATTTCCGGTTCTTTGCTGCTAATGTTCCTGAATGTTCGTCAAGTCCTTCTGGAATCCATTTGTCCTTTCTGTACCCTGGGTTCTACCTTATAATCAGAAGTTGTTTTATCTTTGCTACAACATATATAGATTCCCAGCGCTTGCAGCGCAGTTGTACCAGTGTTTATATCAAGTCCCTTCTCATATCTATCAATGTTCACTCACACATGCATTTGTGTTAATTGAAAAAAAGTTCAATCAAATGTGAAGATCACACATACTTTTCTCTGTGAACAAAATTTGTACAAAAATAAAAACAGACTTTTTTTTGTTGACGTGTCAAATTTTGATCAAAGTCAACATTGACAATCGACAGGTAAACCAACTATGATCAATTTACCTGTTGACTGTTGACTGTCGACTGTTGATGTCGACTTTGATCAAAATTTGACATGCTGACAAAAAAAGTCCAATTTTGTTTGTTAATATTTTTTGTTTACAGACCAAAGTATGTATTATCTTCACATTTGATTGAACTTTGTTCTGTCAACTGATATTGTATTTTTTATGATATAAAAGAGGAACAAAAGTGTAGACATAGGAATAACATAGTGTGATATAAATTAAAAACTGGCTAGAATTTGACCAGAGTGAAATCACTATCTTACTTGCATTCACAGATGAAAAATACTTAGCTTGATTCCAATGAAAAAATAATAAACATAGCATAATCTCATTCAAAATCCACTCACAATGCAGATTCATAACTTATGAAAAATATGGTCATTATGTGGACATGAAGAAAAATAACAACAAAAAGATATTACAGAGTAAATATTATGTCTGATGAAACTGTGTAAATATGCAAAGCAGAATTTACATGTGAGAATAGAACTTAAGCTGATATAAATCAAGGAAAATGTGTGCAAAAAATAAATTGTTGTTATTATTTTACATCAGAATTAAAAGTGACCCGAGTTTGTCTGAGATCACACCAACATTTGATCAGTGGGCAAATTGGTCCCTGCCCCCAGTGTTGTGTGCCCGGATGGCGCCCAGTAGTTAGTACTAGTAGCCTAGTCGCTTGCACAACATTTGGGTAATTACATAATGGTTTTATTGGACAAGTATATGTGATGTGTAGAACACTGTAGATGATGAGTAGGATTATGGATTGACAGGAGCAGGCTGATGCATGATGTTCGGCGGGACTCGTTCGAATGTCGGGCCCAAGAGGTAGAAACATTGGCTGCAAGCAGGAGATAACTCAAAGTTGGGCTAAGGTCAGCGTAGAAATTTCATCACTTCCGAATCTCCGAGTCTTTGACATGGGTATCTGCACCTTGTGTACACCTGAGTTGCAATCACATAGTTCACATGTACACGCTTAGGTCTGCAGTGTGTGCTACCAGTCCCGGAGGGTTCCGGGACTGATCTTTGCTTCCTATATATATGAAGGGTCATTTGTGTCTGACCAAACCTCAAGAAAGTATGTTTGCACAAGAATAGTGAAATGGCAGCACTCACTGGATGGTAAGCGACCAGTGTTAGCAGAACAGCATTAGGCAATGGGTAAAGCAGTAGATTGCCATATTTGTTAAAGATATATACCGTATTGTCATAATATCCATGGTGACCACACACAGGGTATGCAACAAACTTGAAGTGGAAGTAGCAAGTGGAGAGGTGGATATGAGTTTAGAGTCATCCTCTTCCTCTTTGCCTTCTTGTTCTTCCTCGTCTTTGGCAGCCTTAATGATAACAGTTGTGATACGGTCAAAATTTCGCTGACCATCCTGGCTTATCTGACATGCCAAGAATGAGTAGGCAAGCTCTTGGAATATGGCATCCGATGACGGCACGTCGAGGGCATCTCTGAAATGGCCAGTCTTGGTACAAGTCTAAAGAGACTTCAGGTCTTGGGTCTTGGTACAGGTGGCAATGCTCTGACGGAGATTGAAGACGCCGGCATCCCCCAAGCATGGCTGATCATTACACACCCGCCTTTCCTGCCAGTCACATCTCTCCCACCAGTCACATCATGCCTCCACCCGCCGCCACCGTCAGGCGCTGCATCTGATTCTCAATGCACAGGCCATGGACATCACGTCCCTACTTGCTGCCATGCATCAACACCATCAGCTTGCCACCATGGGGCAGACATGGAGTGGGCGGGATGATTGAGGGGAAGGAGGGAGATGTGAACAAGGTAAGCCAGGAAAGAGGATATGTGCGGGGAAGATGAGGAATGGATGTAATGACGGGTGGGCAGGGTATTTGAGCAGCTCATGCATGGTTCGAGTGGCATCTAAATTGAGGATACCATTGGCATCACCTCCAGTGGTGGGCGGGCACAGAATACATTCCTGACAGCTGGTGGGCGGCGGGCAGCACAGAGGCGGGATGAAGGATACTATTGATATCCTCCCTTAGGTGAGCTGCGGTGATTCAACTCTGCTTGAAGTTGCCGAGCTCGCCAAGGGGTACCTAGACTTTGTACCGAGATGTCTGCTTAGACTTGTACCCAGGTTGGCCAGAACTCTGACATTCATGGCACATCGCACAGCCTGGAAACATGCTGAAGATTTGACATTATCGGGTTTGAAATACTCAAGCTTGGGCTGGACAAAACATGTGAGATGGAGAGGAAACACAGCTCTCCATCAAACTTTCTCATCGCCATGGAAGTAGTCCATCAGATAGGAAATATGCATGTGCACCTGGCGCTAGTCACAGACCTGAGCGCTTCATCTACACAGCAATTAGGCAGTGAAGCGAACACGAGGATAACACATGGAACGCTGTCATGCATGGTATGGAGTTCATACCATGACATATACGAATAGCAGTATAAAAGGAGATAAGTAGAGGAGTGTACAAAGGATATACTTCCTACTTACATAAGCTTTGTTTCTATTTATTTAGTTGTATTTGTAGTTTCCATTAGTTTCTGTCTCTTTCCATTATTTGTTTATGTGTATTCAGCCACTTGATTACATCAGTGAGCCACTCAGATATGTTTGTAAGCATGTCATGTGACCGGTAATATTCTGATTTGTAAGGACTTTCCACGACTCATCATATTTTGTCATGATTCGTCATGCTTTGTAATATTTTACTCATGTACTTTAGTAAGCAGCTGATTCAGCACACCAAAAGGCTTGGTTGATAAGCATAATCTTACCAATCCAGTGATGACTCATTGCTTAGTAAGGATGGTTTCTAGAATGTATATAAGGACTCCATTCTCACATAATATATAAGTTTTTCCCCTTCCATTCTTTTCCCAAACCGTGTGGGAACGTAGGAATTTGAAGTCAGGAGTTTTCCCACTTTCTGTCTCAACACTGTGAGATCACAAAGAAAGTGAAGGCCTACAAGTTGCCTTTGAAAACAATCATATTCACTTAGTCTAGATTGATTGTATACTATATTACAGGGATCGCCTATACAATAATCTATCGTTTTATCCATCATTTTACATATTTGTGCCACATTCAGTTCAGAGAGGTTCATATTACCTACTAGGTTTAAGTTAACCTGACAAAATATATATACTCCTTTACTATCAAGAAGTGATCTAGCAAAGAAGTAATTTATTACCCTTCGGCCACCCACGAACACCACATTATCAACCAAGAAGTAGAAAATCCGTTGACCATGAACTTGAGGAGCTGGCACCTTAGTCTTAAAGAGTACAATTGTGATAGTCGTTGTATTCTGATCAACATATAAGACCCTCAAGTAAGAAGACAACGCACCTTGTTAAAAGACAGCATAAACGGATAGATGCCCAACTTCCTCGACTGTGATCCAAACGCCCACTGAACGCTGTGATTTGAGCACTGGGCTTGTCTGAGCTTCTCGTGAGTGATACTTTGGGTTCTTCAGCAATATATACACCGGCTTACCAGCAACTTTGAAGATCTCTGCGCATTCTCCAATACACAACTCCTGTATATACAGTGCCAAAGTTGGCTTCTGGATTCCTATAATGGTAGGCTGTCTGGTGAGGGATGGCTTATGCACTTCTATTAGCAAAAGCTGAAGATAGGCAGGTTGACTCACCAGGAATATTTGCCATTGCAAAACAACTAGCTCTAATTCAACGATCTTTGCGGGCTTCTGTCGCATAGATCTGCTGCACCGCACCGACCATGTCTTCCAGGGCCAATACAGAGAAACAGACGATGCAAGGCCATAATGATATGGTAATGTCACAACCCTTATAACGAATTAATGCAGGGGCAGAGACTAGGACTCAAACAAGGATATCACAACAGGAGGATAGAGAATAGCAGGCATGTCTTGGATTGCTAGCAATGAGCTAATACACAAGAGGTTTGAACTGAAGAACTACTGACTACAACGAGCTACCTATATACATATATTGAGACAGAGACTGAATCTGAGTATGAACTAACTAGCCAATCATTAAATAGAAAAGGAATCGTATGATGATCTAAATATAACTACACTATGATGTCATGAAACATGTGGCTGCTGCGGAAAGGTTCTGGAAGGTTCTAGTGTCACGTGACTTAATCACTTGCAAATGGAAATTGTAATCAGGAATATTGGAGATAGAAGTAGTAGGCGCCAATGGAATAAAAGAGTTCAGGTTAGGGTTTATGAAAGTCATCGGTACAGACACTGGTTTGGGCGCTTGTGTTGGGCGCTTATTTTGTGTCTTACGAGTATTCAAGAAAGAATAATGATGTGTATTCGGAACTCATGACAGGTAACAGGTGTTGTGCACCTGCCTGAGGGACGACACATCATCACATGTTCATTGGATCATCAGTGAACCTGTGAGGAAAGTAGATAGCAATAAATAACAATATATAGTACATAATCACAAGAACTAGCATAATTTTGCTATCAACAATCACATTGTTATGTTTGGCCTTATAGAGGAAAGACGTGTCCCTGATTATCATATAAAATTCTATGAAATGCCATAACGAAAGGGAGGTTCACAACTCCGAAGCATCAAATAATTGACATGAAAATATAAAGCTTTACAATGCTTTATCTAATTGCAAAATTTACATGATATCTGTCAGAATGATACTACCTGGAGTAAGTTAGACAGAACTACCAAAAGCGCCAACATGACAGATCGCCTGCAACAACCTGCCATTTGTCACCAGCATCAAATTATTCTCATCCTCAGCACTCATTTTGTGAAGCAAATTAATTTTATTTATATTTAAATACTACATATGTAGTTACAGGACAAAAAGAAAACAGGGAAAGATAGCGGAGAGATGAATCAAAGGAGGGACCAAGGCCAGCAAAAGGGAAGGACCACCATGAATGGCCAGAGGAAGGAACCATGAGGAAAGGAAGGGCCACCACAAACGGCCAGGAAGGAACCACGAGGAAAGGCCAGGGAGGAACCACGAGGAAAGGAAGGGCCACCATGAACAGCCAGGAAGGAACCACAAGGAAAGGCCAGGGAGGAACCACGAGGAAAGGAAGGGCCACCATGAACGGCCAGGAAGGAACCACGAGGAAAGGCCAGGGAGGAACCACCATGAATGGCCAAGGAGGTACCACAAGGAAAAGGCCAGGGAGGGACCACCACAAATGGAACCACAAGGAAAGGCCAGGGAGGAACCACCACAAATGGCCAAGGAGGTACCACAAGGAAAAGGCCGAGGTGGTGGTAGTAGCAGTGAAAGAAGGATTGAAAGGAACTTGCATGAAAATTTCCATCCTGCGCAAACAATGACAAATCAATTCAACCACTTGTGCTGGTCACATGATTTGAGGTTGTCTGAAAATTCTAAGGTAAAATTTGAGGCTAAGGTGATAGTCACATGCATGATCTTGGATGACATTGTAATTCACGCAATATTTGAACCAATCTATATAGTTTTCTAAGAGCCCGTCTGGACAACGAATAACAAATTTTCAAATTTCAACTGAGTCAAGTCACATGGTCTGGGAGATCCCGGATCACACAGATTCTTTCACACAGGGCACCTTGCTTCCCCGCCATAACCACCATGTCATCTAATGTATCAAGCCACAGTGATGGATCTAATCGCTCCCTTCGTTCTCATGGTACCGTTGATCCAGTAGAATTGAAGAAGAACCAAAGCAAAAGAAAGCCTGCTGCCTCCTGGACGCTAGAAGAAGAAAACTGTTTTCGTTGACTTCCTGTTATCTCAGTTCTCTGCAAGTGGCGATGGAAATCCCAAGGGTACAACACTCACCAGCGCTGCAAATCTACTGAAGGAAAGATTCCCAAATGCATCTGGTGCTGAGAAGACAGCTGGTGTTTGTAAGAACAAGTGGCAATCTGTATGTTACCAGTCCAATAATCGTGTTTGCCAGTGATCAGGAAATCTCAAAGAATGTATGTCTTGCAGCTCAAAACATTATACGGACCTGTCACAGATATCAAGAACACATCAGGATTTACATGGAGTGATGAGTATGGAGCTTGAATAGTGATGAAGAATGATGATGTCTGGGATCGGTACGTCAAGGTATGTATTGTTGCCACTGCTGTAGCCAGCACTACTAATAACGCAATCACTCTCAGCGACGCCCTGCAGCGAAGGCCTTCAAAAATAAGGGCTTCAAACATACCTCTGCTATGGAGCAGATGATGCCAAAGATTGCAAAAGGATCACATGTCTATCGACCACCTCCAGTGCCCACCGGCAATGACATCCCTCAGGCTACTCCTCCCTCCTTTAATCTCAGCCAGCTTACCTCTGTGACCCAAGAAGTCATGCAAGCGGGTGGCAGTGGGCTTCTCCGCACTCCTGGGCCATCGGCCACTTTCAGTGATCCCTCATCAACATCACCCTCTACTCCATCTTGTTTCCTTACCTCTTCCACTGGTGGCTCAGCCCCCTTGTCTATGTTTACGAGTGTTAGCCGCAGTGCAAAGCGCAGAATCAGTTCCACACCCTCAATTATTGAATCAGAAGCAAGTGCTCAAAAATGTACACGCTGGCCACTATCTGTAACTGCCCAGGTACAAAAGGATAGGTCTGAGACGATGAAGGAGCTCGCTACTTACATCAAAGACTACCTCCAAACTCCCCCCCAGGTTACTTCATCTGACCCCCTCGCTTGTGCTGTTGTCTTGTTATCAGAACATAAGACTCTTACAGCTGATGATCAGCTCGAGATTGCAGACTACTTCGCTAGGGACAAGACACAGGCTGTAATTTTTTCTAATTTTCCAGAGACGACTCGAGCTGCCTGGTTGGAGAAAAATCTCCGCAAACTCAAGTCCAACCAAGACGACGATGTAGTAATGGTATAGAGCTTGAAGCGGTGGTTCCGTGGAGTGTAGTACGACAATACAAACTACTACTTATTTGTATTCAAGCTGTACCTGGCAATGGAAGTCCTCATTCCCTATGCTCATTGAGATAGTCAGCCCACATTTCCTCTGCAATTCTCTCCCACCACTGATCCGCTCTGCTCCATTCCGCTGTGTCAGCTGGTCCATCGCCGAGTTCACCCAATGCAACATCAAGGTTCATTCCGTCAGATTTGACGTCAAAGTCATCAGGATGATACCTTTGATTGAAGTTGTGCAGTGCGCACAGCGCTACAGGGATTTGAGCCTGAATATCCATGTTATATTCAGGGACATGTCGCAAGATGCCCCATTGACACTTCATAACGCCAAAAATGTGTTCAATCACATTGCGAAGTCCAGCATGACGAAGGTTGAATAGTTCCTTGGCATTCCGTGGCCTGTGTAGAATCCCAGTCAGACGCCAACTTAAAATAATAAGGGATTAGTACTACTTGATATTGGCCTTGTCGCCACTCTTTCAAATGATAACGGACACTCCGGTATGGAACAAGGAGGACATCGGAGGTACCAAAACCAGCATCCGCAAGAAAGTATCGACCTTCAGGGATTCGTAGGTTGTTTGCATGGGCGTCCATCCACAGAGCAGCATCAGACATAGATCCATCCCACCCACAGAGTGAATACAAGAAATGGAGGTCAAAATCGCAGATGAACAGACAATTTTGTGATAAAAAACCTTGTGGTTACGCATGTGAAAGTGTTCCTCTGGCGGTACAAAAGCCTGGATATGCGTGCCATCTACGGCACTGATACACTGATCAAAGAACTGATATCGAGGATCATCGAGAATTTTATGGGAAATTGGGGTTGTGTGAGTCGGAAATGTGATCTGGGAGCTGTAAAATGGATTCAACGAGAAGAAGAAAAGCATGCATTTGAAATATCTTGGAAAATAGATTAAGTCGCTTGAAAAATAATATTGAGACCACTATACCTTGTGACCGTGTCAGGGGAGCGCTGGAATCTCTCCCCAACAAGGTGGGATGATAATCCAGTGGACACATGTATATATAAAAATGCCAAGCTGCTCCTCCACTGATACGCCATTGTGGGATAGGACAAATCTATTGTGGTGAAGAACCTGCAGCAGTGCATTGAAAACATCACCATCAATACCAAAGTTGTGCCGGATCCTGTCAGGATGTCCATAAATGAGCTCGTACACCATGCTTCACCAGTGAGGATGGATGTATGATATGGGATGCGGACAGTTGAGGATAAGAACAGAAGCTGGTAGGTATTCATAATTTGCACTACCATAGCTATGAGAATCACGGTCCAGCGACATCGATGTTGGTCAAATTGTTCTTGCGCTTCAAGGTCAATATTGTAGTCCATGTATGCGAAGCATTATCATTGTTAATACGAAGTCTAAACCGAGGTGTGTGATCCGGGATCTCCCAGACCATGTAACTTGACTCAGTTGAAATTTGAAATTTTGTTATTTGTTGTCCAGACGGGCTCTAAGTCAACATAAATGAGGGGTAATATGATGTTGCTCAACAAACGGTACCTAATTACACTATCATACCTTGCTGGTTGAAACTTTCATAAGAATATAAATTAGGTTACAAGTGCTAATGGTTCTTTCCACGATAAAGTCTTATATCACTTGGTAGTTTAAAACATAAATGAAGGGATATGGTATGAGTCAACAAATATAACTTAACTATGCTATTGCATATTGATTGCTGCAATGGCACAATGTTGTAATCTTGTCGCAAACTCCTCATGGTAAAATGAATTTCAGAGATTCATGGCTATGTACTGATAACTAATATTATTGCCGTATACATAGGTATATGCAGCCGTAGCATAATGATATCATCTTATACTTCCCACGGCTACAAAATCAAGGACTCATGGATTCACTGATGATGGCTCACTACGACTATGGGACTTGGAGAGCAGCGCACAGATAGGCAAGGACTGGTGAGATGAGCGGGAGAAGAAAGCAGCAGTGTACACAATGGCGCTGTCTCCAAACAGTAAGACTGTTGTCAGCGGAAGTAACGATGGGAAAGTGAAGCTGTGGGATGTTGAGATGAGAAAGGTCATCACAAAATGGACAGGGCATGCTAAGAGTGTGTGGTCAGTGTGCTGGAGTGTGGATGGTAATCGAGTCCTGAGCGGATCTTGAGATGGGACAGCAAGAGTGTGGGATGTCAAGAGCAGAGAAACAATCCTGGAAATCAAGACTGGGCACGAATCTGTGTGCACAGCGGTGATTTATTCGCCCAATAACACACAAATTGCATCAGGAGGACACCCGGTTGGAGTAAAAATCTGGGATACGAAGACAGGTAAGCTGCTCGCCAGGCTCTTCCACAATAACACCATGGCCCAGATATGCAGCTATGCAGGTTATGATCGCACAATTTCCGAGGACATGTAGGAAATGGCCGGTCTGTGTTAGGTCTGCGCACACTCCGCCAAAGTGTTTGGGTGAAGTGTGGGGGACACCTGTCTGTTATTCTTACACCGCCTTCTACGTCAGCCACTGTCACGCATCCCGCTGTCTCCATCAACCACCTCGCTGTCATTGTCAGCTTGCTAGCTGCATTGGAGGGAGGTCGAAAATGTCGTCACCAACCAGTCTCACCTCCACCTCCAGCAGTCCCTGCACCACAGATATCAGCACCCTCTTTGCTGCAGTATGACACCACGATGAACTGGCAAATATGTCGCTTCTCAACCTCACACGTTTTATCCGACACGTGCACCTACTGAAGGACGACATTCTCCAGCCGCAGCCTCATACGGAGCCTATTACTATCGCTCCTGAAATCATAGAGGAACAAGCTGACAAGGACGGTGAGGATGGCAGGCGAGGCTGACAAAGGGGATGGCGGGAGAGGCTGACGGTGGGATAGATGGCAAGATACTATTATGGTACGCACAATTGGCAGCCCCCAGAAGTCGGCACTTTCACAAACTCGTGTTTCCAGCTACCTAAACACAAAATTCTTTACATAGACATCATTCTCTCTCTAACACAACTCAATATGAGGTCAAACGAATACATTTGAAGCAGAATTGAATGAGATAGCTGAAAGTGCCGAAGTCACGCAGAAATGTCACCTGCCGATATATGCCGTGACGGAGTTTCAATACTGCACACACCAGTGCCTACCAGTGCCAACTGGTGCTGTGCTGCTGGTCATGGGGCTAGAGCAGCATGAAAAGGATAAGGCCAACACGGAGAAGCAGGCCAAAAAGAAGACAGAAGATGAAGCGCGCCACACTCAGATCGAACACGATATTGAGTTGAAGACATTTGATGCACTCTCAACACTCCGGCGCAAGGATGATTTTATCGCACTTGCTGGTGCTCTCAAGATTTCAAGAGACGGAACGGTTGAGGAACTCAGGACTAGACTCAAAGAGTTTCTTGCTGATGCTGCAAATCAGCACTTTGCCGACAATCCACATTTTGCTGCGCTCTTCCAGAGTCCAGACAGGAAAAACACGTTCGAAGAATAAGAATTTAGCCACTGCATCATTGACAGGACAGGCTAGTAGTGGCGCCTCGCAAGACAATGACACTACCTCATCCAACGCTTCCGGTACTCATTTTTTTCACCCCACCTGCCAGTGCACATTCTTTTAATCCATATTATCCTCCACACTTTACTAACCAGCCATATTTTTATCAATTCTATGCTAATCCAGCTCTCCGCACACCATCTTACTCTACAACACAACATAATAATTCATCCGGCGGTCCCATTGTGTCATCATCAAACTTAGACAGACAACCTCAGCATCCTTACAACACACACAGTCTCCCTACACATCCCCCTCAATTCTACAACTACGGCACTAATCATGGTCACCCTCGTACTTAGATTCTACTAGTATATACTGTACTTGCTTGCTCACGCCGAATACTAACTCACTTCCTTGCGCTCCTGCTTGACTGCCGAGCTGACTTTGAAACTGGCTCAGTAACATGTCGTGACTTACTGTGACATTTGTGTGACTGCCGACTTCTGGGGGCTGCCGATTGCGCGTACCATAATAGTATGGGCAGCTTTGACAGACCTCCTGGCATTTTCCGGACAACCACTAGCAGATGTCCCCCATACTTTTGACATGGGGTCTGTGATCTGTCTGCATAGACCTCACGCGGACCGGCCAAATCCCGCATTTTCTGCAATTTCCAGTTTGGCCTGGACATCGGACGGAAAGAGGATTGTCTCCGCGTCATATGGCCCAATTAGGATATTTGACACAGCCACTTGGCAGCAGATCGCTATCCTGGAGGGTCACACAACCTATTATGTCAACACCATTTCCTTGTTTTCAAACAACCGCCTCCTTGCAAGTGTATCAGATGATAACACGGCCCGTCTGTGGAATCTCAACACCAACCTCCAAGTCGGACCTCTCCTTCAGCATGGAACTCAGGTGCACTACGCAGCCTTGTCCGCTGATGGACGAGTGCTAGTCACTGGTTGCAGAGACAAAAATGTGTACACATGGAACATTCACGCCCTCGATGGCCTTAAAGACCTACTGCCCATTAGTACCATCGTGAGTGCCAACATACCACCCAATCTTTCTCATTGACAGTGTCTGTTGACAGGCACCAAAAGACCGGCCAAGAATAGAGCGTACCCCCGCTCCTCAATCAGCGACAAATCATTTTTGAAGGTACATGACGTGTTTCCAATCCCTCTCATTCATTAAATAACAGCAACATTCCACGCTAATGCCACGCGATGTCATGATGAGTTTGGGGGTCACAGTGTTGATGAATGTTCACAATGGTTTTTTGACGGCATGGAAGCCGACGACGATGTGCGTGATCAGTATTTCTATTAATGAGTTTGTGTTCAGATCTCTCTGTTCTCAGTCCTCCCAAATGGGTAGTGCCCACCCTCATTCCTCTGCAAGTCCACTCCTCACTCGACTTGCCTCGCTTCTCCGCCACTTTTGACCCAACAACGCTGAAGCGACTGAACTTCCGCAACCCTCAATGCCTTTGGGTTTACATCCGCGCGTGCTCCTGGGCCACCTGTCCTTACTCTTCCAACGCTCTCCGCCCGAGAATGATGGAGCAGACGAACCTCAGCAACCCTCCACACCTTCGAGTTTAGATCTACATGCGCTTTTCGCCCGCCTGTCCTCGCTTTTGCCTCAATCTCGACTCAGCACCGACGAGGAAACCGAGCCTCATCCCACAACCCCTTTGGGTTCATGTCCAGTTGCGCTCATGGATCTCCTATCCTCACTCTTCCGCTCTCAGCCTCACACCATGGAAGAAATCGAGCTCCCGCAACGCCCAATGCATCGTCATGTTGTCAAAGTACCTGCAATGCGGGACAGGGAGGTATGTCTTTCTCTGGTATACCAATTGCTGGTGTCTAATTATTTCTGTACAGGTCTTGTTTGTTGCTGAGCCGCGGCCACAGAATCATCTACACACTCAGCCTAATGGTACTATCACCCCAGGTGGAAGACCTGCGTATTCACTGCCCGTCAGAATGTTAGCCCATCTCGTGCTTTTTCTCTGCTGCGCGTCTCCTCAACACCCTGGTGGCAATGTACACATAACACAGCAGCAGCAAGGTCAATCGCAAGGTCCAGTCCAGACCCAGGCTCCGTCACCACAGACTCAGCCTTCCGTCCCGTTGGCATCGACGTCCACGGTGCCTACTGCTCCTGATACTCGCACAACGCTGACACGTGCAGCAACCGCATAGCTACGGCCGCTTCCATTGCGGGTTCATTTTGTGCTTTTTGCTGTGCATCTCCCCCACATGCATATAGGCATCAACACTGCAGTATGAGGACACCCGTCTCATTTGTTTCGGTAATCATCGTTGTGTCATCGATCACACCGAGAGTGTTTGATTTCCATCACCCTCAATTTTGGGTGCTATCCCGTGAAGCCTCAATTTTATTTTCAAGCAGTTGCTAGAAACATGTCCCAGCTGTAAATCTTGGTTCTGCACATCTCATACACCAGTCAGTCATCCCGTCTGTACATATTACTCAGGTACCTGATTAGCAAGTATGTACACCCTGCCTTGGACTGGATCATTCCCTCCCCCCACTGCACATGCACAGCTTCCAAACCACCACATATCCTGCAAGGTGTTCATGTTGACGGACTAGTTCCAATACGTTATGTGATCTCGCGGCTATTTCTCGCTATATGACTTTCCCCGATGCACGGGCGCTGGCATGTTGTTGGTGTAATCAACATGTCTCTACCCGCTGTCTGCTCTGCACATCTGTGATTGGCCATTCATTTTCTCTGTGCACATTGCGTTGAACAAGCGTAGGTTGCGGACGACTCAGTACCCAAAATTCGATTGTTTTTAATAGAGTCTAAATTGCACGAACACGATTAGAGATAACGACTATCTTCATTTTGTTCTTCGACCGGCTGAACAGCATCGTCATGGAACATTCCAAACCCCCAGTGATCGACAACACGGAATTCGTCACTGATGGGTGCTGCATGTCTTGGAAAGAGCACCAGGACACTGTTCAGCTGAGCGAAAGGCGGATGACGTAGTTCCGTAAACATGTACTGTCCTGATCCTGCAACCTGGACAGACTCTCTGAGACTACTTGCTCGGATACTTTGGACCGAATTTTGGACCCGAGGATGATCATTCTCTTGGTGGCAAGACATATTGTGGTCCTGAGAGCTTGAACTTTGGGCGGTGGGCAAGCACGTAAATCCAATCTCAGCCTACCCAACACTTCAATTTCTAATGCCTATATCAATTCCTCCTCTGCAATTGCGACAAGCCCCAATACCTGCAGTTCGGCATGTTACCGTATATACCAACACCAACATCGCTTGTTCCTCTGTCCAAAGTAGTACTCCGATACTCGTGACCTACTCCACAACGAACTGCACAAATACGAGTTCAGTCGGTCCGTCTGCGCCTGCACATTTCTCGCCATTCCCCCTCGTTATCCCCTGGATCCGCTTGGGAACCTGATCAACGAGCCACGGTCCTGCTAGAGGTACTCTGTGCATAGGAGCAGCTAGGATGCACAAGGGTGCTGAAAGGGTCGATAGGCGCCACTTCAGTGGTTGAGTACTTCTCTGAGGTTTTGGAAACAGCTATCTTTCAGCGATGGCATCAGGAGCGAACAGACATCCACAAGCCACTACGATCTTGACAAGGCTAGTGAGATTGAGTGCATGACCCTCAGCATCGGGGAGAGTTCTCTACTCATAGTTTGCCAAAAGCCCTTGTATGACTTATATCTACTTCGCAATTTAAATAAGTACCACGACAAAACCTGGAATAAATAAAAACAGATTCTCCCGCTCCCTGCACACTACCCGCCCATTGCAAATCAATCATATCGAGCATCTACTGCGCTACACACTGCTGCTAGTTGACACATGGACACGCTCCTGAAAAGCAATTGAAGTCATAGCAGATGCTGTATCAGAGTTGGCTACGAGCTCAGCATGATATTCTCGAACACCAAGGATCAGGCGTGGTCCCAGCACAAACAACTGCACCGTCTGGAGTATCCGAGTGATACCAATAAAAATCTGATATTCCAGGGAATACATGTCCTATGGAAATGATAAATCATTGTCGCATGTAGAGGTCCGTGGACAGATCGACATACCGCTGAGAGTGTTGGAGAGAACAAACCAATCTTGAAGCAAGAGAGAGCCAAAAACTAGCACGTGCAAAACTTCAGTGGAACAAGACAACTGTATACACATTATGAGCTCACCTTGCAACGTAACTAACATGAGTTTGCATTAACACTGTGAAACAGTCCCCGATAATACCACTTGTCGAGTGTTGTTGGAGTTCATGGAAGTGTTTTACAGCAATCCAGATCGTGAAACACAGTACAACGACCTCCCATGCAGTGGAAAGTACCCAAGTCACGGAGACCAGAAATATGTAATCTCCTAGGTAGCCAGTGCACTGATAGGTGCCGGAGAGAATGTATTCCTCTGGTATTTGTCAATGAGCCTGATACACTCAAACATTTCATACATGATTACAGCTTACCCCCTGCAATCTGCGTCGTCTCTATTGCGAGCATCACTGCATTGGCAATTCTAATTGCCAGAAAGATGACAACGAGAAATATCAGCACCTTTCTGGATTGCTGATACATGGCATGTAACCAAGCAATCATGATGACTTGCATAATGTTTCAGTCAGGTCAATATCACGGAGGTGTATAGCTCACTGCCCAGTATTATATTTATAATGTTACCCATCCAATCAAGTGTGTCATAGACGACAAGGCCTGACAAATCCAGTAACATTAGTTATCGGCTTCGGAAGATCACAGGGTTGAGACGGACTCACAACTGTGGGAGTCGTTATGTTGAATCAACGAGTTGCTCGAGAATCTCACTCACCCCTGCATGGCAGTTCAGTTGTTTGGATGGGAATGGAAGGCATCAATGTGGAATACTCACTGCATCTGTCAGCGAAATTGTTGGAACATTGACTGTATGCCGCCCGTCACAAGAAAGAAACAGAGTCTATGTGAGGAGGACATACCCAAAATGGTCATCCTAGTTATGAGAGATGGGTAATGAGCGCAACATCAATGACTTAAACCTCCAAATGTACACAATATATGCTATTCCAGCATAGCGCACCTAGGATATTTTGAAGTCAGCAAGACATGTACTTGCTAAGTGTAAATATTGAAACACAAGGTACATACAATAAGATAGAGAAAGGTCATCAGGGACCAGCGTTGCCTCTGCCGTGAACAAGTTGTATTTTCACATCATTCTTTGATGTAGGAGTCCTCTCACCCAGATCAGTTCAAGCTATAACACAATTCTGAGTGAGTTGGCTGCCCCAGTAATAGATCAACGTACCTCTTGTGTGAACGTAAGCGCTGAGAATACCATACGGATATCAGTGGCCTTTTCATACTTAACCCAATCGTACATTACCCTGATAGAGGCAGCAACTGTAAAAACCGCAGCCAAGGTTAATCGAGTTATCAACGTCATCATGTGGCTGACTCTCCACGAACCTGTAAAATAGCTGGCAATAATGCTCGCATTGATCATTGGCCACCAAATGGGATCATTCGAGACTACAGTCATACTATTAGAGGATGAGAGTGAGCAAGCGGGGGGATTTGGCGGACATATAACGATTGCATTCGTGCTTGATATACCACAATCCAGCATTTATATCGCCAGAGTAAGATTTGAAGGATGATATCTGATTGATTGAAGTAAGTGTTTCAGCCTGAATTCCAGTAGAAAGACAATGTACCGTATCCAGGGATACCGATGGGATCAAGGTAAAAGTTGTTGGTGAGATCGCAAAGCAACGACTCGCATGGAATGTTTGAATGCCACAAAAGATCAGAGAACTCTTTGTGATTTCGGCAACCTGCCAGTGTGATCTTCGAAGTATCCCTTTGTTATTTAGTATTCTTGCTGCAGTCGAGTGGGAGGTTCAGCCTCGGCCCATCAATAACACTGAAACGGCACCTAAGTTGACTGGTAACCTCGTGGCAGACATTGTCAATTACAACATGAACAGGGTCCATAACCATTCTTCTAATTCATGTACACGCTGATTAGTATAAATGTGACCAAAAGTACATACATGCGTCGTATCCAATTCCCTGTCATTAAACATAATCAACGTGTGTAGCGATGAGGGCAGTCGTGCAAAGAAAGTGGGAAGTTGTACAAAGGGGGAAAGGCACGGTTGTACGGGGTTGTTGTACTAAGAAAGAACGATCAAGTGATGTGAACAGGAACAGAGGCAGTGAAGCGAAAGCAATGATAAATGGGCGGTGATGGTAAAACACTTTGAATGCGAATTTGATGAATGTGTGATGGCTCCAGTTTGGTGGTTCATATGTAAGCAATGACAGGATCGGATGGATGCACTGGTAAATAGATAGATGAAGGTCTTCAACGAGCTTGAGGAGCAAATAGCTGGTTGGGAGAGAAGAATCAGAGAGAAAACTGCCGTTCATTACATAAAAAAAGAATTTCCTTCATCCATAAGAAACACTGTCCCAAAGAGGCAGCAATCGATATTGATGAAATCAAGAAACCGAAATGTGAACTGCGCGTTTCATGTGGCAAGTGAAAGTGACAAGCAACTGCTTAAAGAGGAGAACGAATGAGTGTGCAATTGCAAGTGTGCATTCATGTTGAACAAACGAGCGAGTGTGTGGGGTGTCCTAAGAAATAAAGAATGAAATATGGAGGGAACCTAAAAGTTCGAAAGTCCTGTCCGTCCTGTCTGTCCTGTCTGTCCTGTCTGTCCTGTCCTTTCTGTCCGCATCATCCACATCGTCCGCATCGACACAAGGCCATGATAACATTGAAAAGTGCTGCTGAGCTTCTTGGCAGTATTCCTGACCTTACTTTAGAGACCATATTTACATTCGCCTTGTTGGCAACAAGCTTGAAGGATGACATAATTCTCACACAACCCGCCACACACGATATCGACGAGCCTCCGCTATTCCTTCCTCCAAGTATTGTCACATTCCTCAGTGGCGCTTGTTGACTGTCATCGGAATCTGTTAGGATGTGTTGGGGTGCCCTCAAGAATGATATTTGGGCAGACTGCTTCACTATCCCTGATAAGATCAAGGATTTATTTGACACGCATGGACACCCATACGGATTCAGTATGTTTCACCTACAGGTTGTATTGTTTGCATAATACTAAATGTACCTTCCCCCAGCACAACATACCTTCTATCCTCCGTTCAAGATGTGCCAAAATGCGACCTGTAGCCGGTGTGGGTAATACAACAAAGTGACTGCAAGTCAGATGACAAGCAAACACTCTCTATGTTGGGTCTTGATATGCCGTGCGATATGTTCGACCCTTAAGGGAAGCAAAGAAAGCAAGGATCCACGAAATGATGCTGATCAACCCTGATCAAAGGCGACAAAAGGGCAATGTAAGCACGAGAAACGTGCTCAAGGCACGTGCTGTCTTACTACTTAAGGGTCTTATGTACAATGCATGTATAGTGACAACACAACTATACAGGATAAGACTTCTTGCCAGTCCTTAAGTACACGGTCTACAACTTTTCTAGTTTTCGTGGTAGATAACGTGTGAGTTCTTGGGAGGGTTTACTGATGTGTCCTCTTCTTGTTGTTCCCTGGTGGAATACTCGTAGATTCCCTAATGTTCTGATAGTAAGATCTGTTTCAATCTCGTAGGTTGTGTCTCAACCTATGAAAGTCTGTCTCAACTTTGTCATGTTCTCGTGTCTCCCTTCCTGAAAAAGAGAGAGTCTGTCTTAAAATACGTGAAGCCTAGTTAGAAAGCTGTTCTGGTGTTATATACTCAACCCCTGTAAGGTAGTATACAACAAGTAATGAAGTCTGTCTTAAATACGTAAAGCCTAGTACGAAAGCTGTTCTGGTGTTGTATACTCAGCCCCTGTAAGGTAGCACACAACAAGTAGTTTATAAATAGATTGTTATATAAGCGACCCCTGTAAGGTAGTATACAACTAATCTCTGATACAATGTTTATCTTACTTCAAGGCACTCTTGGCCTGCACTTTAAGTCTTACGGACTCTCACGGTTTGAGAGAAGAGTGAAAAGTGGGAAGTTATTATTACTCAGTGTAGAATGGGCTCCTTTTATACTTTTTTGGGAGGCCATTTTACTAAGCATGACTCATCACAGCATTAGTAAGTCACTAGCTTACTAACCATGCCATTTGGCAGTGCTGAATCAGCTGCTTACAAAGTAGTTTACAAATAAAGTTCATAATATTACAAAGCATGATAAATCATGACAAAGCATGACAAAGCATGACAAATCCTTACAAATCAGATTATTGCCTATCACATGACATGCTTACAAACATATCTGGGTGGCTCACTGAAGGATTCTGTGGCTGAATGAGCCTGAAACACATAGAAACAAATGGAAACAAATGGAAACCACATGACAAATCATGCAGGATCCTTACAAAGCAGAATATTGCCTATCACATGACATGCTTACTAACACATCTTGGTGGCTCACTGGTGGCTGAATAAACCACACAAAGAAATGAAAAGAAAAGGTGAAAAGGTGAAAACTATCATACTGGAAATATAAATACAAGTAAATCTGTCAAATGGAACCAATCATAATAATACAATGAGGTACACCTTAGTGTACTCTCTGTAGCTACTTCCTGTCTATCAATGTCATGGTATGAGTTCCATACCATGCATGACAGCGCAGGAAAGTGAAACGCGAACATGCGTGAAGCGCGGAAAGGCGAAAGTGCGAAAGGCGAAAATGCACAGAGAACTGGAATGGTAGTGCAAGCAGTGCACAAGTGTAGAGAGATGATGATATGGTGAAAAGCGCAGATATTGATGGATACTGATACTGCCACTAGCTTGAGCCCCTTCAGTGACAAATCCCGTATTATACGGGTCACCCGACCTACATAATATCCCGTGTAATATGGGCCAGCGGATTATGAGCCGATGTTATGTATATTCCCGATGTTGACAGGTGGGCCGGGAGGCATATTATTTCCAATGGAGACGGGTGGGCCCATCTATGCTGATGTCATATATATCATCGACGATAGCAGATTGGCCGGGAGAAATATTATTATGGAGATGGGTGGGCCCATGTGGGTAATATGTAGAGTAGGATTGACATATATTATAGACCTGAGGAGATATGTATAGCAAATAGTATTATATAGAACGTGTGGGCTGATGTATAGTATTATTTTGTAGATGGATGGGGCCGAGGGAGCGATGAATATTTATTAGATAGACGGGTGGGCCGACGTGGGGGTATATCAGATAGACGGGTGGGCCGAGGGTGAGGGGAATTATGTATTACATAGACGGGTTGGCGATGTGGGGTAATATTAGATAGACGGGTGGGCTGAGGGTGAGGTGAGTTATTTATTAGATAGACAGGTGGGCCGACGTGGGGTAATAATAGATAGACCGGGTGGGCCGAGGGTGAGGGGAATTATTTATTACATAGACAGGTTGGCCGATGTGGGGTAATATTAGATAGATGGGTGGGCTGAGGGTGAGGTGAGTTATTTATTAGATAGACGGGTGGGTCGACGTGGGGTCATATTAGATAGACGGGTTGGCCGACGTGGGGAATTCTACATAGATGGGTGGGCCGATGTCAGGTAATATTAGATAGACGGGTGGGCCAAGGGTGAGCTGAATTATTTATTAGATAGACGGGTGGGCCCAGATACGTATCATATAGACAGATAGGCCTAGGTATTGTACATTTTTACGAGTTTTGAGTCTCAAGTTCAGAAATTTCAAATTTAAGGAGATATACATTTTTGTTGTCCTTGAAAATACCGAGACCCGAGATTCGGGCACTCGGTAGTCGATGAAATGAGTACAGAAATACTTAAGATAATACACATTGTTCTCAGAAATCCACAAGTTTCAAATTTCGATTTGTGAATTGAGTCTCAAGTCTCGAGACTCGAAATCACCGAGTACCGAGTACCGAGTACCGACACCCGACACCCGGAATTCGGCACTTGGCATGTAAGAGAGTTGAGTTTGACATGAGCTAAGATTTGTTTCAAACATAAAAGCACTCATAAAAATAAAATAAGCAATAAGTGACAAGATAACATCTGAAGTGAACGAACATGATGATTATAATTGATTGTGGCAATGAGGGGAGTTCAACGGCAGAGCAGCTTCCTGGCTAAATCCAGCACAGCAT